CTGGTTAAGAACTTAATTCGTCCTGGAGGTCCGTTCTGAACCTGAAACTGTTCTGAACCTGAGGCACCACTTTGGCTAATGCGGGCTCCTGCTGGTGCCACTGCGCTGCGGTGGCGCAATTTCTGTTCTCATCCTGAAGCAAAGTTCTTAACCCGAGGTACTATTTCTGGGTTAGTGGAGTCTGTAACCTGAAGCATCTGTAACCTGAGGTACCACTGTATATAAGCCATGAAAGCTTGCTTTATTTGTATGTGTCAGGCCTGGTCAGCACTGAACCTGTTGGAAGCATCCCAAACAGGCAAACGTTTCCTGTTAGCATTAAGGAGCCACTGAAGCAAAACGTGATATAAAATTAGAAGCAGTGGTTCCCAAACTCACCACGGGCCACTTGAAAATTGCTGACGGGCTTAGTGAAACGTGCACTGATATTTCTCCCTGTTGCAATGCATCGTGCTAGAAAGCTGCGTGGTTTTTACTTGCGTTTTTATTGTTTCCCTTACTTCGTGCAATGTGCTGTGCTGCAATGCAATTCGAATTCCATAGCGTTGCAATTTTAATATAACAAAATGCAATATGAGAAATAAAAGAAGCAACAAATGCAATTGAAAAGCAATGTGAATATTTGAGGGAGAGGTGCCACGGATCACCTGGATGAAACCGGTGGACCGGACCAGAGATTGAAACACTCATTTAAAAGCAACAAACCACCTTTCGCGCCTGCGTGTTTCTTGCAGCGCTGGATAGGCAAGTGTCACACCTAAGAGGTAAGGCTTTCTTTTCGATGGAGACTTCCGGCTCTCGATTACAGATCCTAGATCCTGCATGCGTGGAAGTGAACCGAAATGTTACAACGGATTAAAAAAATAATAATCCGGAGCTGGAAACTCCTTTGCTTGAAAATAAATGCTAGCTGCACCCATGCGCTACTCTGTCAACTCTATCTGTTGAATGTCTGCCCGTTGTGCTACAAGGCTGAAAATGCAGAGCAGCTCCAACGACGGCGGGGACAAGCAGAGGGTCCTGAAAAACTCATATTCTCGGCTTTTGTTACTTATAAACCGGGGATAGGATTATTCCAAAGAAAAAACAAAAAAAAAACCCTGCGCGCTGCGTCGGAGCTGCTTCTTTCGATTCTTCCACCTCTTTTTTTTGCCAGATGCAAAAATAAAAGAAATTCAAAGGCTGCTGCAGCTTTAGCAACCGCGAACAGATGGAGGCTTGTTCTGTGTTGCATCTCACCGCATGCAGAAAATGCAAAAATAAAAATTAAAAAATGCATTGTAGAGCCGGAAATGAGAGATGCATGACACTATAGTTTACTCTTGCCTTCCTTCCTTCCTTCCCTTTTTTTCTTAAAACGCGCGAGCAAATCTCTGGGATGCGCAGTACCTTGGACAGCGCGCACCCGCGGTAGTGGGTTTCCCTCCCCTCTCCTTGAAACTCTGCAGTCACAGAGACTGAGTAGCCGCTTCCAGGTGAGCATCCCGCCCCCCGTTTAAGTCCCAGGGTGAGTGACTCTGCCTAACAGGGGCAGCTGCAACAGTGTCTCCCTTTGAGGGTCCCTTTCACAGCATGCATTGACCGGGAAAGCGAATCCTGGGAACCTCTGCACCCAGAGAGAACTACAACTCCCAGCACCCTTGACAAACTACAGTTCCCAGGATTCTTCAGTGGGACCGGGGGATCTGCTTTAAATATATGGTGTGTACACCGATGGGGGTAGATCTGTAACGCAGGAGAGGAACTGGTTAGGGGGCTGGGTCGAGGGGCGAGCAACCTGTTTTTCTGCCACTGTGAAGCCCTCCTGGTGTTGTTAAAGTACCATATCTCCCATCTTCTTCTTCGTAGCCGAGTAAGATTGCCTTACATAAACACGGTTTGAGTCTGTAAGTGACTGTGGAAGCCAATTCTGGATCCACATGTCCTTCCACAGTGGGCACATAGGTTTCCGGGCGGGAGTTGATCATGGTGTGGATTTGCTAAGCGTGCCTTCCTCTTAGCACATTTCTCCTTTTCATCCTGAGTTCGAGCGTCTTAAAAACCCATGACACCTTTGGTAAAGGCTGTTCTCCAACTGGAGCGCTTGCAGGCCAGTGTTTCCCAGTTCTCGGTGTTTACATTACATTTTTATATCACAAATGCAACAAATACATATTAAAAAATTGAGCTGTATCAAAGGCTACCAAACGGTCTTCCGGAATGTTTTACGTTCAAAAGCTAAGGTACCACTGTTCAAGATTCTTCACTTAACAGTGTACATGTTAAATTTTGAATCCCAGAAGTGGTTTTATTAGGGCACAGTGATTTGAAACAGCAGAGCTCATGCCCCCATCGGCTCAAATCTACTTGCAGGCTAAACTCTTCCCAAAATTATATCTTGCCATTTTGAGATGAAAATCTGTTTTAATGCATACCGCATTACAGACGTATATATTGCTGGAGATGTTATTAAGATGTCCCTCATGTTGTATACCCTTGCTTGGAAATACATAGGCTCTCAGGGAAAATATCAAATGCTTTATCACGTGGACAAACTCCTCAGCTAGGAACCATGACAATGTTTGTGGTGGTGTCTGTTTTTTAAATCCAAAGAACATCAGCTAATATTCTGAACATTTAAGAAAATGGGGGGAGATGACACAGCGTTTTGAACTTTTGGGGGGGGGGAGAATTACCCAGGGTTGTTGAGCTTTTTCTAGGGGGGATTGCCGGAAATCGCACGAGTCGCAAAAAACGCCTTTCATCTGTCCCCTCGTCAGGAAAAGTTGGCAATCACCCCCCCCCATTGCCACAGCGACAGCCAGTCAACACCAGCCATTGATGCATCAACCAATAACAAGCCCAATAGCTGCTCAAACACCCACCCTATGCACTATCCATGTATAAGACGACCCCCACTTTTTAGCATAACTTTTTTTTAAAAAACCTTAGTCTTATACACAGAAACGTACGGTAGGTTGTGGATCTGGTGTCTTTTTATGTATGACATGGTTAAGATGTGCAGACATGTACAGTGGTGCCTCGCAAGACGAAATTAATTCGTACCGTGAGTTTTGTCATCTTGCGATTTTTCCGTCTTGCGAAGCACGGTGTCGGGAAAGTTTTGGAAAAGCTTCAAAAATCACCAAAGTCTTTAAAAACCTCAAAAAAGGCTACCACACCGCGTTCTATAAGTTGCTCCTCGAAGTCAAGTCGCAACTGTATTAACAGTGTTAAGAAAAAGGAAACAAACTTGCAAGACGTTTCCGTCTTGCGAAGCAAGCCCATAGGGAAAATCGTCTTGCGAAGCAGCTCAAAAAACAAAAAACCCTTTCATCTAGCGAGTTTTTTGTCTTGCAAGGCATTCGTCTTGCGAGTTACCACTGTATTGGGACCTTCTTTAAAAAAAAAAGAAAACACCCCCTCAAAAAAAAAACCCCTACTGAAAACATACTGATTTATTCCTTAGGGAAGACAAGAACACTTTCAAAAGGCTGCCTCAGAAGGCACGGAGAGACTGGGAGACGAGGTATGAGCATTGTCTGCAGCAAAACATGGATTGCAAATTCCATTGATTTTAGAGAGTTATGAATGTCTTTGCTCCTTTCCCATCTGAAGGAGCTACTTTGGAAGTTTTGTATACGAGAACAATTTCCATGAAGATGGGATAGGAACTCTGAGGAAGCTGAAAAACCTACACACATACACCCCTGCCTATTTTGGAGCAAAGTAGAAATCTGATTAATATTTTATTCTCACTATATAAGGCAGTTTAGATGAATTTTGAGTCTTTTTTTAAAAAACAAAGGTAGTATCTTCCTCAGGCTGACTACTATCAGCCTCCTAACAAATGTAATTTTCTAAATAGGAAAAACAAAATAGTGTTACAAAAAAGGGAAGGTTTTTCTTTACTAGTTGTTTGTCAGGCAAAAGAACTGACAATGCAAGCTTCTCAAGCTATATCTGGCTGAGAGGGGGATTATTGTAGAGGACACTTGGGGAATAGTAATTAACAAGGAATGAAACCCCGTCTTTTCTTCTGATAAAGTGTTAAATGCAGCAGTAAATTTGTTAACTGCATTTAACTGTTAATCTTTTCTCAGTTTAAGTCCTAGATCTGTCCCAGGTACTTTCATTGAACAGTCTTGAAATAAAAGGATTATAAATCCAGTTTTTAAAATTGCATTCAGTTTTAAAATTATTTTCTTGATTTATTTGCTTATCTTTCTATTGGTTACGGTTATGTTGGAACAAATCTGGAAAATAAAGTATTTGACTATTTCCCTATTACTCTGTTCTCTTCAACAACAAAAAAACATCCAACAACCTCCCAGTCCTTTCATGTCACATTTTGTAAGTGCATGCTCTGCTTTTTTTATTTCATAAAATGTTATTTATTGTCCAGGGCCAGAGCATCATTCCAGTGCTGACGGGGGAAGTTATTCCTATAATGGAACTCCTTTCATCTATGAAATCACAAAGTGCTCCAGAAGACATAGATGTAAGCCCTTATCTTAGCTGCATCATGAAAGGAAACAGCTCTTCCATTCTTCTCCGTTTTGATCTGCCTTCGGTAAAATAAATTACACATTGTAAATAAGAATACTTCTAGATTTTCGGGAGTTCCAAGTTAATACCAGCTTCCATCTTATAAGCATGACGGCACTTGAAATAATTTTCTAACTGTACTTGACCAAAAATGTATGCAGTTGTTGTTGTTGTTTACATGCAAAGGTTTATAAAAAGTGATTGGTCGTAAAATAGGGAAATGCCATAATGTAGGATCTTGAGGATGCTGGAATGTCTTTTACTGATGTGTTTTGACCTGGCAGGAATGTGGCCATGAACTCTAATAATGACTCTTTGTCTCCTAGATTGAAAGGATAAAAGGTAAAGGGACCCCTGACCATTAGGTCCAGTCGTGACCGACTCTGGGGTTGCGACGCTCATCTCGCTTTATTGGCCGAAGGAGCCGGTGTACAACTTCCGGGTCATGTGGCCAGCATGACTAAGCCACTTCTAGCGAACCAGAGCAGCTCATGGAAACTCCATTTACCTTCCCGCTGGAGTGGTACCTATTTATCTACTTGCACTTTGATGTGCTTTTGAACTGCTAGGTTGGCAAGAGCAGGGATCGAGCTCACCCCGTTGCGGGGATTCAAACCGCTGACCTTCTGATCAGCAAGTCCTAGGCTCTGTGGTTTAACCCACAGCGCCACCCGCGTCCCAGATTGAAAGGATAGAGTGTGTGTAGACCAGGGGTTGGCAAAGTTTTCGTGGCTTGGGCCGGTTTATGGTCCCACAGACGCCGCGGTGGGCCGGAGTGCTCACGCACGCACAACGCTATTTCCAGTGCGGAGGAGGCATGCGCAGCTTCCCATTGGCTGCAGAATAGATTACCTGATAGATTCTAACTATAATAAATTACCTGATAGATCTTGGAGCAGGGGGAGTGGGGGGAATCAACAATAGCGACAAAAATATATATCTAAAAACAGTTAATGAATGAAGAAGTTTCCTGTAATCAGGGGGAAAAAATGGGAAACTATTAATTTGAGCTTGTGTTCTTTCCCCCTCACACATAGAGAGGGAGGTGTTGTTGTTTTATTTGTTTCTGTTGCGATACTATGGTGAAGCAAATTCAGGCTCAAAAAAAAAGGGATGCTGTAAAAAAGGTCTCCAAACAGCAATATGGTGGGCTGGACATTTCCTCTAGTGAAGTTCTGGACAGTCCAGTGGAGGTGGGTGCCCAAGCTGGAAGGGGGGAAAAGAACATTACTCTGGCCACAAAATATTCAGTTTGCATGCTGGGGGGAACATATAGCTGTTAGAAAATATATGTGGATCCCTGTAAGAATTGCCCCAGTTCCTGTGCAATATATAACCACTGCCGATTTTTCTCTTGGCTAAACTTCACTGCCTGTACTATTAAAATGATATTGTATTACAGATGGTACGCACACTGTGCCTCTTTCTCACTTTAACAGATAGGAAGCGTTCGAGGCTTTGCAGAAATGAAACCTCCTTTCATTACGAGTCGGGTCTTTTTGTGCAAGGATTGCTGAAGGTAAGGTCATTGATCTCCTCAGCTAAATTCTCCCAAATGCCACTGGCTCCTTCGTTTCTAATGAAAAGAAGTAATGTTGTGCTTAGAAGCTTTTGAATTATCTCTTTATGATTATGATGTCTACCTTGTCCTCTTTCTGACTAGATGTCTTTTCTAGGGGTATAAGATTTTCCAGGCAGTTTTTGTATTTTCCCTTTGAGGTTAAAATGAAGGTTTCCACTTAGATATTTTGGTAGGCAGGCCACTGGGCCGGCTCCCCACCCCCCACCCTGAACAACGAAGTTAAAGGGAGTTTATCCAGCACAACTAAGGAAGCATAATTTTTAAGTGCTAATCTGAATTGATGCTTAGTGCTGCTTTCTTGGAAAAGCATATTTTCCTTGTTTGCTCTCCCAATACGAAGAAATATTAAATTTGCACCTCTCTCAGAAACGATGGGAATGTATTGTGAAAGTTAGCTTTGCAACTGACATAATTATTTTGATTTTTTTACTCAACAATATTTGCATACCGCTTACTAGCATGAAAGACTCCTATTTAATATGCAGTTATTTCCATTATATTTTAGAAATCTTTAATCATTTTTTAAAAAATCGAATCGGTTTAATTTTGCCAATTGTGGCAGTCCAAATTCACTAGGTACCTCTAGAAGCACCCGTGGCCAAATAATCTCAGAGTACTTTAAGGAACAAACAGTCGTGGTAGTGAGCAAAACTGCAAACCCTACAGTTCTTTTCCCCTTTCTGACAGGGGTAAGTATTCATGGGCCAGTTGTGGTTCTGTCAGAAGGAAGGAATCGTGCCGTGTTTGTGGCCGATCAGATGCACATCTGGAATTAGTTGGGAAGGGATGGAGAAGCAACCTAGCAATTTGTTCAAATCCTGACAAGACATGGGGATTGAAAGGAACTCCCATTACCACCACAGGGTTCCTGTCTCTGTAATAAGGCATGCATCAGCAGTTGAGAAGCATAGCCTCAAACTGAAACTTCAAATCATATGGTTATTGTTTTTAAAAAAAGAAAGTTCCAGTGATATCGCTGCTTGAATCAAAAGTCTGCAGTCTCTTTCATTTTCATGGGTCATCATTGCTTGTTTACTCATAAGCATTTTAAGCGTTTTTTTAAATTGGACCAGCATATCCAAGACATGTAGACATTGACAGGTTTTAATCTCTTTTCACTCTGTTGTCTATTCCCTTTGGAATGCTTTAATTATTTGCTTTTCACCATTTTCACTGGTGCATTAAATATTTCATGTGAAACGATTAAGGCAGTACAAACATTTGGTTAACTAAAGTCATAAAACGAGTCGAGTAAGTATCTCGGAACCGAAATGGAAGGGTGTTTCACTGAGGCTTCAGCCTTAACCACATCTACTCAGAGGAAAGTCCCATTGAATTCAAGACAGGAGCAGGTTAGGATTGTAGCCCCAATTCTCTGTGGAGAACGCTTGAAGTCTTACAATTCAGGGCTGAGCCCCCACTTAAATTCAGTGGAGCTTGCTCCCACAGGTGTGTGTGTGTAAGAATGTAGTCAAGGCTGCAATCCCAAACCAGCATACTAGGGATCAAGTCCTGTTAGACTTGGTGGGACTGTAAACATGCTAAGAACTGAACTGTAAGATGCTGAACTAAACATCAGTAAAGCCTTATTTTTAATTGAAAGGTCACATTTACTTGCCTGTTATGACATTAATTCACACACACCCACACACCCACACACACACCATACTTTTCCATTTATAAGACTTATGTTTTTTTCTTGTAAAATAATGCAAAAAAGTTGGGGTCGTCTTATACATGGGTAGTGCACATTGGTTGCTGCCTCGGCTGTCAGCGGCTATTGTGCATGTTATTGGTTGCTGCGTCAATGGGTGGTGTTGATTGGCTGATGCTCTGCAGTTGGGCAGGCGATTGTCAGCTTCTGTTGGCGGTGGGACAGACGGGAGGCGCATTTTGCGATGCGTGCGGGTGAGTGGTTTTCAGCAACCCCCCCCTAAAAAAAGCTTGGCAACCCTGGGCAATCCTTCTCTCTCCCCCCCCCACCTTCTTAAATTTGAGTCCCCAAAAATAGAAGGCATCTTATACATGGGGAAAGCTTCAAGTGTACTTAAGGGGTGTAGAAATAAAAGCATTATTGTTAAGATGGAGTATTTAGCATAATATTCAACAAACCACTGATTTCAGTGACCCTTCTGAGGTTTTAAGTCAGGGGCTCACTCAAGTAGTCTGTTGGCTGCTAGTATCTAAACATAGGTGGGTCTGTCTCCCATCTATTTCTTTGTAAAAGCCAGTTCCCAGCATTGTAGCAAGTTACGAGAGCTACAAATTCAGACCTGCTCTTTAATCTTGACAATATTTTTTTTTTACAAGTTCTGCAAAAATATTACCAAGTCTATTAATGCCACATAATACATATCGTGTTAAACATAGGCTCCGAATGTAACCACCGCATAAACAGATTAGAAAGGGCAATGCATATAACTGGAAAAACACGTTGATGTATTCATGCTTTCAAAATGAATGGTAGATTTTGTTTGTAATGCATCTGTTTGTGTCGTGCACTCAGAGATGTGCTGCATCTCCCCAGAGTCCCTGCAGCGCACAAGCTCATGCACCTCCCATCACGATGAGTATTTTGCTAGAATAGAACTGATGAGAAAATGCCAGTAGATGAGACCGTTGGCTGATTTTTCCTGTGTGGCCGTTTTTTAACAGGTCTTTTGTTTGAAAGCTGGATTGTCTCTGAAGAGGGTCTTCCTTGCCTAATTCTTGTTGGTCCTCCACAGAAAAGCCTTAACTCTCATCAAATGTGTAGAAGACGATACATAAGTATATAAGAGCTTGCGGAAGCAGTGCGTTCAGTGCCCTGGCATGGTTTGAAATGAAAATATTTTGCTCAACCACAGTTTTCCCTGTCATCCCACAGGCCAAAAAGGGGGAAAGCCTCTGAAATCACTCCGGAACTTGAAGATAGACCTGGACTTAACAGCAGAGGGCGATCTGTACATAGTGATGGCTTTAGCTGAGAAGATCAAGGCTGGTTTGCATTTGTTTCACTTTGGCCGGCCTTTCTATACCAGTGTGCAGGAACGCGATGTCCTGTTGTCGTTTTAAAGACGTTTTCCAGTGTGGGTTGGTGAAGTTCCACGGCGCTTTTGAAAGATGCCACTGGTGAAGGGAATGTGATGTTCCTCTGCTCTCCCGATGCAACAGCATGTGGGGGGAAACAGGAGTGACAAGCCCCTCTCAGCCACTGGCAAATTTCTGAGGGTCACATGCTTGTGGTGGAGACCAGGAGCAGAAGTGGTTGGAGCTATGATTGCAACTTTTTGCTTTGTACGTTAAGGTAGCATCTATGCACACTCAAACACCCCTCTCTGTCCTCCAAATGGTGGCCAGTGTGGAGTGTGGCCTGAGGAGGACTCAGAGGGCCAGTTGTATTTGGTCCCTGGGCCTGAGTTTCTCCAACCTTGGTGATATGGTGCCACTGAGCCTCTTGGGCTTGCCGATCAGAAGGTCGGCAGTTCAAATCCCCGCGACAGGGTGAGCTCCCGTCGCTCTGTCCCAGCTCCTGCCAACCTAGCAGTTCAAAAGCACGCCAGTGCAAGTAGATAAATAGGCAAGAAGGTAAACGGCGTTTCTGTGCGCTCTGGTTTCCGTCACGGTGTCCCATTGCGCCAGAAGCAGTTTAGGCATGCTGGCCACATGACCCAGAAAGCTGTCTGTGGACCAACACCAGCTCCCTCGACCTGAAAGCAAGATAAGTGGCACATCCCATAGTCGCCTTTGACTGGACTTAACCGTCCAGGGGTCCTTTACCTTTTTTTAAAAGAAAACCCAAAGCCCTGTAAGCATTTGCTCAGCTTTGGAAAGGAGTGCATGAGGACCTTGTAAGAGCCCTAAAACTGCCTCTGCAGCAGAATAAAGGAGGAGGGAATACAGTGGTACCTCGGGTTAAGTACTTAATTCGTTCCGGAGGTCCGTTCTTAACCTGAAACTGTTCTTAACCTGAAGACCACTTTAGCTAATGGGGCCTCCCGCTGCCACTGTGCCGCCAGAGCATTATTTCTGTTCTCATCCTGAAGCAAAGTTCTTAACCCGAGGTACTATTTCTGAGTTAGCGGAGTCTGTAACCTGAAGTGTCTGTAACCTAAAGCGTATGTAACCCGAGGTACCACTGTACTATTTGGAATTGAGTCACTTCACCTTAGACATGCATCCGAGGCTCCATTTCACTTATAGTCAGAGCAAAAAATTTTGTATATATGTCAGCTTAATGGGGTTTTCTGAACCACAAAGTAAAGAGGACAATTTTAATGGGATTCTGGACTTGTCACTTTTTCTTATACAGCATGGTGCTGGGTGGAATAATGCAACTGTCTCTTTCTGTCTGGGGATTGTTGATTGAAAAGCAGTAGTGGTTTTTAAGACCATCGCTTCCAGTGTATCTGATATGATGAACGGTGCCATCCGTGTTGCTCTCCCCACCTGCCCCTTCTTCACATACCCTTCAGAAGCCACCTGAAACCTGTGCTGACACCCAGGCATTTAAATGCATAAACGTGAAAACAGGCAAGTGATTTCCTTTAATATTTACCTGGTCCTGCACAGAATGGACCTGATCCTGCACAAATACTGTTTTTTAAACGGGGTCGTAAGAAGCCATGCTTTTGTGCCCAACTGACAAGCAGTCGATTGCATCCAAACAGTGATGGGGGACATTTGACATTCCCGGTGGTCTTGCGACTACAGCTGCCATTGAGCCCCATGTAGCAAAGCAATGATCAGGGTTGACTGGCGTTTCCCCCATCACAGAGATGCCTCACCCCTGTCTGTGTTAAGACCATCATGCATGCTGCACACTTAAACGGCTAGCATATTTGCAGATCATGAGAGTGTAAATTAGAAAAAGCCAAGTACAGTCGTACCTTGGTTTTCCAACAACTTAGTTCCCAAACGTTTTGGCTTCCAAACGTCGCAAACCCGGAAGTGACTATTCCGGTTTGTGAACTATTTTTGGAAGCTGAACGTCCAATGGGGCTTCCATGGCTTCCGATTGGCTACAGGAGCTTCCTGTAGCCAATCAGAAGCTGTGGTTTGGTTTTCGGACGTTTTGGAAGAAGAACAGACTTCTGGAATGGATTCCGTTCGACTTCCAAAGGTATGACTACTGGGCTGAATAATTGTCAAGCTTAACCTGATGAATAAAAGCAATATAAATGCCCTATGTCTCCTTGTTGCTCTTTAAGAGTTTGGGGTGGGCACCGATTATAGCCAAACTTCGTACAGAACACAGTTGAGGGAATACTAGTGGTAAACTGTTTTTATCTCTTTTAACTCCAACATATTTGTCTCTTGGCTCTTCCTACGTTGGAAAAGACAAAATATAAACTTGCCACTTTTCCCCATCTGTATAATAGGAAATATTCATACACCTTCTAACGTGCAAGTTTACAAAGTAAACATGCAAAAATCTCCATGTCACGTTGCACCTGATCTTTTCAGTGTGTGCTGCGGTTTTATTTTTATTTCATTGTTCAACTGTTGGTTTGATTTGTTGTTTGCCAAATGCTGATACGTTTCGTTCCAAGTGCAGTATTTTTTGTTCCTCAACGATTAGGGAAATTTACTGTTTTGTGAAAACCTAAGTACATCTGACAAAGGTTTGTCTTCTTAAAAGCAATTCTTGTGCATTCTACAACAATAATATTTTCTTGGGAAACCTCTTGTGTATTGTATGCAGTGTATGACTTAAGTGTCGTGGCTTAGATTAGTCCCTGATGTTCTGAGGGTGGGTTTCCTCTTTAACGTCTGCATCTTGGGAAGATAGGAGCGTAAAACCTTTCGCCCTTAGTAAAATAAGCAGTCTGCTTTTGTGAAGCTGTGTTTGCAGCAGAGTCCTGCCGCTCTCTGGATTATGGCCTGTAACTTCATGAACATGTGAAGTTGTGTCAAAATACCAAATAATGATGCCAAGGAAAATAACTAAAATAGATTCAGCTGTATGGGAAGGAAGGGGGCAGTAAAGGTGGAGAGCTCTTTCTCTTTTAGCTCAGTGCAGAACATTGCCACAGGTGAGCAACAGTGTCAGTCCTCGGATGAATGGCTGGAGCAATAGCTCCGATGGCCTGCCACACACAGCAAGAGTCAAGAAGTCACAAATACCGCTACAGTTGAGTGTAACAGTCCTGGGTGTTTTCTCTGTTCATGACTCATGACACTGAATATGTAAACAGTTGATATTTTTCCAGGTTACTGAAGTGATAAACATAGGGGCTTGCAGTCAGAAATCTTAAGATAACGGTGTGCGTATCTGAGATCGGTTTTATGATGGGATAATCCTGGAAGCAGGGACGCGGGTGGCACTGTGGGTAAAAGCCTCAGCGCCTAGGGCTTGCCGATCGAAAGGTCGGTGGTTCGAATCCCCGTGGCGGGGTGCGCTCCCGTTGTTCGGTCCCAGCACCTGCCAACCTAGCAGTTCGAAAGCACTCCCGGGTGCAAGTAGATAAATAGGGACCGCTTACTAGCGGGAAGGTAAACGGCGTTTCCGTGTGCGGCTCTGGCTCGCCAGAGCAGCGATGTCACGCTGGCCACGTGACCCGGTAGTGTCTGCTGACAGCGCTGGCCCCCGGCCTCTTGAGTGAGATGGGCACACAACCCTAGAGTCTGTCAAGACTGGCCCGTACGGGCAGGGGTACCTTTACCTTTTACCTTAATCCTGGAAGATGGTTTAAAAGCAGCTTATGCAGCTGCACATTCATTGTTGCATTTGTCACTTAGCTAAATTCAGTGTTGTTGTTTTTCCAAGGTTCTGGTTTGGGTGCCTGCAGCCCTATGCTGCTTGGGGCCAGGATACCTGACATATCATCTCACGCTTTATATAGCCAGCTGATCACTGCCTTCTGCAAGTGAAGGCGTCCTGCAACTATCATCTTATCAGGTCTGTTCTGCACAATGCAAGAACCCGGCCTTTAGTGTTGCCCTTTGGCATTCCCTCCTGTTAGAGAGGCACTGCTTCTGTTGTCTTCCCAGTGCTACTGCGAGACAAACGTCCTCTTGCAACAAGCCCTTTGAATAGAGTATTTGTTTCATCGCTTTATGTTTTTGCCACCTGGGCTCCTTTTGAGAGGAAGGGCAGGAGAGAAATTTTTAATATGTACAGTGGTACCTTGGGTTAAGTACTTAATTCGTTCTGGATGTCCATTCTTAACCTGAAACTGTTCTTAACCTGAAGCACCACTTTAGCTAATGGGGCCTCCTCCTGCTGCCGCGCCGCCATCACGCGATTTCTGTTCTCATCCTGAAGCAAAGTTCTTAACCTGAGGCAATATTTCTGGGTTAGCGGAGTCTGTAACCTGAAGCGTATGTAACTCGAGGTACCACTGTAATCGGTGATTTTGACTTGCAGAGAGAATGAAAGGCCAGCTCCTACCTGTGATCGGAATGGAGGGGAAATTTTTTGTCCCACAGGAAATACCCAACCATGGGCTCCCCAAAGGTCATGTGACTCTCCAAGTAGCAGGGAGGGTTGAAATGGGGATGGGTTTCCTCCTGGTGGATTTGCATAGCCCTGTCTCAAGAGCAAATGGGAGCAGATAACCCAATCTGTACACCCTCCACCGCCAACAGAATTACCAGTTCTATGAAAGAGGAGGTCATGTGCCTTTATTTTAATGTTACCCTTTTGGTGGGGTGGTTTCTTTCGGTCAATCCACTTACATAACTTGACATCCAGATACAGAAAATGAATGTAGTGAATTTAATGGAGACCTTTTCCTTGCAACATTAGAAATCTTTAAAACACAAAACAAGTTTGTAAATTCAGCGGGTGCTATAGTGTCAAATTTACACACTTCAATCCAGGTATACAAAGCAGCATTAAACAGCAGCACAAGCGCCCACATTTGGGCAACAGTGTTTTATAGTGCAATTGTTTTCAGAGGAAAACATAACTCTCCAAAGGCCACTTTTTTCCTATCAAGTCAACAAATTTAAAAGAGGGACGGGTATCTGACCTCTAAGTCAACTTTTTTTTTTTTTTTTTTTTGCAGGTAGGTTTCTCATAGAGGCACATGTTTGTTTGGTAAGTTCATAATCTAAATTTAGAAGAAAAAAAGCTATTCAGAGAAGCTATTCACCAAACTTGCACATTCCAGGTAGTTCTTATTCTGGAATTTTTGTATTCAGTACGGTTAATATAAATTTCCATTTGGAAATACTTACTACAGCAGCTGTTCCAAACTCAAGTTTTTAGATTCCACCTCAAAATACTGAAGCCGTTGCTGAAGAGTCATATCGGAGACCTAGCACATGTCATATATATATATATATATATATGGTTGTCACAGGTTCTATTAAAACACTCAAAACAACTGTTGCAAAAAGAAAGAAAAAGAGCAACACTTGACATTTCTGCGTAATACAAAAAGAGAGAGAGAGAGCTCCTGCGAGACAAAATGGGCTATTTTGTTAAAAGTTATGCAAAGATCTTATGCCTACAAACATTCCGTTTTACAGATGTGCTTGGCAAATTCAAACTCAGCGTAAACAACAAGCAGCTTTCCGTAATACATTAAAATCTTTTAGACCAGCTTTACTATTCCTTAGCTACGGGGCAGTGCTAGGTAGAAGACAAAGGCCTTTAACCAACAGACAAGAGTCTGACGACACACATGAGAGACACACACACACACACACACCAGTCATTAATTTCTCAGTAGACTTCCACGGAGCGAGATCGTAACAATGGCCAGGAGTCCTCAAAATGTGGCGGCACATCAGGAACATGCCTCTCGCTGCCATTTTGAGGTAACCTGTAACCTCAGGATACAGGCATGTAACCCCCACCCCAGGAATTCTGGGTGGCCATTAAATGTGAAGCAGCCCTAAACACCCCCCTTTTTCTGTCAAATGTCCTGAACCTCCCTAAAAAGGCCAATTTACAAACAGCTTGTGCCCTTGCACCTTGGGATGTATGCACCAAATGTATGAAGTGTCTCTGCGAGGGAGCAGTCCATGCAGATGCCGATGGTTCGTGATCAAAGGCACCTGGAAAGGGGCTTGTTGCACTGCGGGAGGATCGATTCATATAACTGATGCATCCAAGTAATCCTGGCTGAGTCAGGCAGCCCTCCAAGGTGCCACAGGGCAACTGTGCCAATCAAGCAGAACCAGTGGTCAGTTTTGTACGTTGCAAAATTCCTACGCAGAAGGCACTTCCATGTAGGAATTAACGTGCTACCTGCATATAGATCTTCATGTGAAACAAATCCTACAAACATCTTACGGGTAAGGACACCACACATGACAAAACTGTTAGCGAGTAGCACACGTTATTTCCTACACGGTATTCTGTGGATGTATGGCGATGAGCCTTAAATTATGGTTGTGAAGTTCTAAAATGTTTTAACTGCACCGTCTAGGGAGCCTTTATTAAAACTGGAGCAAATGTCATTTCCCCCTCCCTCCCCAAAAATGCTTTTGCCACTAAAGAAAAGGGGGCTGCTTAATGCAATGCATTCCCACTCTCTTAAATGGATGTAACATTAAGCCTTACCCAGAAAAACAAAAGTACTTTCTTATAAACCACAATATGCCGTGTCAGATATAACGCTGTTATTTAACTGCACCTTCTTAATAATGTTAAAACACGTACAGTTTTTCAAAGCAAGACGGGGGTTACAAACCTGAGGAAAGGAAGCCTACTATGAGACAGTTCGTGGAAAATGCAGAGCACTCTTGAAAACCATTATTTTGGATAAGGGCTTTGCTGTTTCTGAGTGTCATGCAAAACTTATTTCGGGAAAGGGCAGTGCTCCTTTTTTGCTTGTTTAAAACCAAGTACACCCTTGTTTCCAGACAGCTAATTAAAGTGCTTTCCAGTGTGCAATTGCTCCATTTTTACATCGGATGACGTGGTAGTATGCGGACCAGGAGGACCAGAACACATCAAGGGGATTCCAAAAGGGAAGTCAGGCTAAACCAACAGAAGGTGGACCTCTCCATATTAGCATTAGCTTACCATGTTCTAAAAAGACCCAGAGTCCTAGCAATACAACACTAAGTAATAATTACTCCACATGAAAGATACAGGCCAGAGTATTTGATCTCCAGTGCTCCAATGAACACCTTTTGAAAATTCTTACAAACATCATTTCCAGGTACACACCAAAGATTTTGGCTGGTGTTAATTTTTCAAACGAGGTGCTTCTTCCCCTCCATTATTTGCACGCAGGCCGGGACAATTTCCCAAAAATTCATTACGTAGCTTGGGTTTACGGTTGTGTGCTTTTGGGGTTTTTTTAATACGCTCGAGGCTTTCATTCTAGCCAAACTGCTTGAAATGGTTACAAAAAATTGGAGGGGGGGGGAGAGAGAGGAGGTGGAGAAAATTAATGGGGAACAGAATTCAAGGTGTTCTTTATTTTAGCCAAGGAATGATGCATGCTACAGAGTCGTCTTTACGTTCCCTCTCTGTATTCAGAGCTCACAGCGCGCTTTCGCTTGTTTCGTTTCGCATGGCACTTGGTTGGCTGTCAATTCAATCGAGTTTTTCTAAGATTTTCTTTAGCAAAGTGGCTTTCTCTTGTAGCTCAGGCCTGCTGTCCAACATCAGGGCTGTTAAGGAGCCAATGAGGACTTCTCTGCTTTCTGTGTTCAGGCTCCCCCACTGTCTGGACTCTACATAAGGAGAGGGAGGCAGAAGGACATCATCATGTTATTTCATGCATTCCCACTTACTGGGCTTTTCAAGCCATAAAAATAGCTTATAACAACAACAAAAAGTCATAAAAAGATTAGTTAAAATGCAGTAAGAAGCATCAGTGGGTTCTGGATAGTGACAAGTAAGAAGGCAGCCCTGGGAACTATATTATCCTTGATATCATCTGAAGGCGGTGGAAGAGCCTTCAGATGATATCAAGGATAATATAGAAATAAATATGGACAAACATGGGAGAAGTGCTTCTTCAGATATCCAGATCACTGACGGCTTGAAAGATTAGAAACTAACTGGTAATCAGTGTAACTTCCTTCAGGACTGGGGTTATATGGTCCCTCGAGTCATGTGCATTATTGGTGGGGGTGCCTTTTGAAAGGTGTTCCTAAACTTAAGGCAGTGGCTGGCTTACCCAACGGGAGCCAACGATGCCATCTGCCTCAGCCAGAATAGCCAAAGGGAAATTTGGCTGATGGGAAATGCAGTCCATCAAGTTCTGGAGTCCATCACACTGCTTACTCCTGGGTCCAGCTGCTGCACCAGGAACTTTCAAAGGCAGCCCCAACACATGGAACACACACCAGAGGTTTAGTTTTGATGTTACCAAACACACGAAGCCAATCAGATGTTCAGCTTGGTTTTGAGAAGCAGATACACATGGGCAATGTAAAGCGCTTGATAGCAGGAAACAGGGGCTGTAGGAATACAAGCCCCAAAATAACAATTCTACCCTTTATCTGCAAAGGCATTTGCCAACATATCCTAGTGGCATTTTGCAAACTATACAAGACGATGCCTAGAAATGACTACAAGAGCCTAGGTGGCAGAACTTCTGTGTCTTGAGCTCCTTTCCAAAGCCTTCTGTTAGGTTTCCCCTTATCCCCATAATGATACTTCTTGGTTTGTTTGTTTTTTACGAAATGTGGTTTTCAAACATCAAAAAGTTTTATTATTATTTCTGTCGATAACACCAACAATTTACTGTATTTTTCGCTCTATAGGATGCACCAGACCATAGGAGGGGGAGAACAGGGGGGAAAAAAAATTTTCCCTTGTTCTCCCCCTCTAAAACAGGTGCGTTCTGTGCATTCAAGGTGCGTTCACCCGAAGCCTCCGGAGCCCAGCGGGAGTTCCTTTCGAGGCTTTGCGCAGCTAACCCCAAGCTAGAACAGCAAGATGGAGCGCTGCGCAGCGCTCCGTCTCCCTGTTCTGGCTTTGGGCTTAGCCACGCAGCCTGCATTCGCTCAATAGGATGGACACACATTTCCCCTTAATTTTTGGAGGGGGAAAAGTGTGTCCTATAGAGCGAAAAATACAGTATATGCCCATATGGTTGCCCTAGCCACTGGCTGGCTCCCAACAAAAATGAGTAAATACACAATAAAGCAAATACAAGCAGGTAAATTTATGTCAAACAAACAACTGGTGTGACTCTTATGCAGTTCATGCGCAAGAAACTGAGCTTCCATAATACAAAATGGGAAGCAGCCTGACCAAAACTACCCTGCAAAGCAAAAAGAGCAGAGTACTCACCCCAATAAATCTATACCAATTATTGCTTTAAAATCAGTCTAGACTAGCACTGAACTGCAGCATTCTTTAGCCTTCTGGAGTTAAGAGACAACCTGGCTGATCAACATTTCTAAAATCATGAAAAAAACTTGCCTTCAAGTTTTGTGAGCAGTACTTCTATCACTGACAAGGCTTCAGTTCTTATGGAGGTGTAGCTTCTATTCTCTGAGGGAACAAACATTAGTCAAGAGTGAATATAACCTGAGGGAAATGTAACTTCATGTCAGTGGTGCATATGGGCCACATACACCTTTTAAGCATCTTGCAGGGAAACATGCACTTCTTAATTTCTTCTAGCCCCAATTTTGGCACAGATTTACAGTGGTACCTCAGGTTACGAACTTAATTCATTCCGGAGGTCTGTTCTTAACCCGAAACCGTTTTTAACCTGAGACGTGCTTTCACTAATGGGGGCTTCCCGCTGCGGCCGGGCCGCCGGTGCGCAATTTCCGTTCTCATCCTGGGGCAAAGTTCTCAACCCGAGGTACTACTTCCGGGTTAGCAGAGTTTGTAACCCAAAGTGTTTGTAACCCGAGGTGACCCTGTATTGTTATTGTTCAAAGAAACGACAAAATGTTTGCCAGGGAAGAACTTTGGTCAGAAGTTAAATGAGAACCCAGCATTTATTTATGTGATTTAATGCAATAACCCATATGCATATAGTTAATGGGAATACAACTGTCTTACCCACCACAAGTTCACAACTGCCCTCCCCGCAAAATATGGAGCATTCAAAAATGAGTCTCTTCCCTGTTCCCATATCTAAAAGGCTACAGGGCAGAATTCTAGTATCTTCTGATGTTATAATCCCACACACGAGTAGGATTCTGTTGAGGAGAACAAAGACGAAAAAAGTAAGGTCCACCCCCACCCCTACCTCTGTCCCACCACCCTCTATAAAAGTCAGAAGTGGGGAGTCTCTTTTAGTCATGCATCAATCCATTAGTTCCTACAGCCCCTCCATCTGTCTCCAAGAGAGGTTCAATACAGATGGATACAAGAAATTCCAAAAGCGCAAAAAGGCTCCACTCTCTTCTGCTAGTGAAAGCTAGTCATTTAAAGCTTTAAAATGGGTTTCCTGGGTACCGCTGACAAGATACTTACCTAGAGAATGGGTGATAGAGGAACAGGTTTCAAACAGTATTCTTCTCAAAGCCTCAGGATCTGAGTGTTCTGCTTCAAGCAACAGTAACCTACCCAAAGGAAGAACAGCACCGTTGCCTTATGTCAAAAAGAGCTTGCTGACAATATCGGAACAGTAGCTGCCCAGTTTAGGGCTATCACAGAGATCTGTAGGAAACATGGGAAGCATCTCTGGAAGAAGCAGGAAACTGTTTCCCTTTTAACTCTCTGAGTCTTGGCTAGTGGTAAGTCTGCAAACGGAACAGCCTGCAAAAATTAGTCCTAGCTAGAGAGGGTCGGTTATGGGCTTAAGCCCACGACACATAGAGGCTTTTAGCCAAAGCAGTCCCTTCAGCAAAAGAATAACTGTTGATGCAAGGGACTTTCTCCTCTTTTCTTTCTGTGTACCCCCTAAATTCCATTCTGGGTGTTTCCCACCAACCCTCCCCCAAAGTCGATCCGGGGACAACAGGGCTTCCACATGGGGGAAGGAGAGGGGGAGTGGTTCTGTTGCACAAATGGAAGCTCTTTTACTGATGGTTACTTAGCATTGCACTGGAATAAAGTCATGGAATGCAGAGGAGAAATGTACTACATTAGCTGATCCCAGAGAGAAGACCATTTGCAGATGACCAAATTACAGTGGTGCTTAACGTCCACCACTTTTGAAGCTGATCATTCGCACTGCCCCACTGAAAGGTTTTTATCATTTACAAAGGTGCATCCTACTTATCTGGGACGTGGATGGCGCTATGGGTTAAACCACAGAGCCTAGGACTTGCCAATCAGAAGGTCGGCGGAACCCGTGACGGGGTGAGCTCCCGTTGCTCAGTCCCTGCTCCTGCCAACCTAGCAGTTCGAAAGCACCTCAAAGTGCAAGTAGACAAATAGGTACCGCTCCAGCGGGAAGGTAAACGGCGTTTCCGTGCACCGCTCTGGTTCACCAGAAGCGGCTTAGTCATGCTGGCCACATGACCCGGAAGCTGTACGCCAGCTCCCTCGGCCAATAAAGCGAGATGAGCGCCGCAAACCCAGAGTCGGCCATGACTGGACCTCATGGTCAGGGGTCCCTTTACCTTTATCCTACTTATCTAGGCCAAACAGAGCTCTCCCCCCCCCCATTTCTCTACTTTTCTCTGACGTGATGCAGAAGGCAGCCTTCCCCTCCCCAAATGTGGAGACAGTACAGACGGCAGGGCCTACCGGGTGTTTGCAAAACACAACTTAAGCAAGTTACCGCTTTGCTGTCTCTGTTCACATCAGCAGATAAGCCCCCACAAAAGGGAGGCACGCGGCACGCTTGCGAGATTTGACGCAGCCGCACGCGAAGGCACAAAATGTCACAGGAGGAAAAGACAGAGAAGAAGCAGGTTCAGCACCTGGAGGGAAATTACCCTTGAAAATAAGCTTTCATAGCTTGGAGCACTCCGAGCTGCACTTTCCACGTACTGAGTTTCAGCCGGTCACACATTAGTTTGCACACCTCTTGTTGATAGCAGCCTGGGGGAAGAAAAGGTTTTCAAGAGAATCAAGACAGAGAAAGGTAAGGAAGACAACTACATTCTCCCCCTGTTCTCTAGACACATTATCACCAGGGGTTTTAAAAAATGCAGGTGCTCAAAGCCATTAGACACCTAAAACAATGGACTGCTGAGATGGCAGAAAACACAGCCCCCCCTCCTCCCATTTATACACTGCTCCCCGTGGGACCTGCAGCAAGGACCCCCTAAGTCAGAGGCCATCATTTCTAAGTAGGGTTCAATCCTAGCAACCTGCCAATTAAGCTATGTTGGCAGAGAGGGGGGAGGAGGAGAGAGACTAGGACACAGCAGCCAAGGCCGGATCTTAATTCTCACCGGAAGTTCTCCACGCTCCCCTTCAAAGCTGCCTCCTATATTTTGCAAACTTGCAGACGCACTCTGCTTTAGCACTATCCCATTCATTACATTTAGACAGGACTACAACATTGCCCCTGTACAGATGTTTGCCTGAACCTCCCTGGGTTAAAAGGGTGTAGAGGGCAATCATCTAGAGTGGGGGCAGACTTCTGTGCTTTAAACACAAATGTCTGATTCCAAATATCTCCTGCTGAATGTCGTTAAACACAAACAATATCCACACCTTTTATTATTACAATGAATGCAAATGTATTTTGCGTTGTTGTTTTTTTTTTGCATTGTATTTATTTACTGTCCCCAGCGCAGTACTCAGGGCCAAAAAAATAGCAAAACACTCTTGATCAAATAGCCTGGCAATCATTTTCCTGTCTATCCATTTCCTGAAATATATATATTTATCCCACCTTTCAATGGGGTAACAAAACTAATAAGGAACGATGCAACAAATAACGCTACAATGAAATCACTAAATATCAAAGCAGCTGGGGTTTTTAAAAAATAACAATTTGAACGAATAGAACAATAAATACTCTGAAAGAGTGTCCTCAAGTTTCTTCTCATTCTCTGACTTTTTGGAGAGGGTGGGTTTTTTTAAAGATGAAATGCCGCTTGAGTTTTTGGGATTAAACCTTTCAATTATTTATATTTATTTTACAAGATTTGTAGACCACATGGTTATAGAGATGATGATGATGATGATGATTTTCAAAAGCAGTTTGCACAAAATTAGTATAAATATTTGTAAGGAAAAAACCTACGTTGCGTTTCTGGGTTTCTGGGCCACGCTTTGCCCAAACTCTCAAAGGCACAGAGAAGAGATTCCATCTGGAGCTCCTTCTCGTTTTCATTCTCATCTTCATCATCGTTCTGTGGCGAACTGTTCTCAGGGCAGTTCTGCAGTGGTACCAGAGGAAAGAAATTGGAGGAGGAAAGAGAGACCAGAAAAATGCAGGTTAGTTTTTGCATAGCATTAAGAAAGGCTTCCCAAGGGCATGATCTGGGTCCACACTATATAACAGGCTGCTTTGAGAGCTGCTGGTCACTCCTTTGCTGGAAGTGTTTAAGAAGAGGCTGGGCATCCACTTCTCAGCGATGCTTCAGGTGCCTCCAGGAACCTGCACGGAGCAAGATGTTGAAGACAAGGACCTCCAAGATCTCTTCCAACTCTATGGTGTTGTTTGGACATCCCAGCCCATGTATTAAAATGAGTGCTGCTCCATTTAATTCTCTCACAGAAGGACAACGTACTTAAGAAAAGAATCTGCAGAAGGTTAAGGTTTGCTGGTTCCCCCCTCGGCCAGTGCTAGCAGCAGAAAGCATATTGTTGTGAAGAGACTGAGCAGCAAAATAGGAAGCCATCAGTTAAAATCCTGGTCCTGCCACAAACTCAATGGGTGACAAGCCAGCTAATTCTCAGCTTCATCCCCTATCTGCGATATGGGGATGACGTCACTGGCCTACCTTAGAGAGCTGTTGTAAGGAATGCTGAGAATGTATGTGAATGGTCTGCGAGTTTGATACAATGGGCAAAGGGTGGTATTATTCATTCTTCGTGGGCTATTCAAAAGCAACATGGACTGAAAGTTCACCTTCTTTATTATTGGAAAGATGATGTCTGTCAGCTCCTTGAACCGATTCTCCTGCGTGGCCTTGAGCACATCAGACGTGCACCGGAGAGCCACAATCTTGTACCTGAGGTTCTCTTTCCGGCACTCCTTCAGCAAGGCCTGTAGGATGTCGTCAACGCTGGGCTGGTTGGGTAAAGACTTCTGCAACTCTGTGCTGAAAATACCAACAGCAAACAGATTTGGTCGCTGTTTGCCCACCTTATTAAATAGTGCCAACCTTTATAAAGCTCAGAACCAGTAGAAGATGGACTTTTTTACCTGCATGAACAGACAACACTGGCAGTAGCTTTCAGTAACTCCTCCTAAAAGGGTTATCACAAAACAAGAAATGGGAAGAATTTTTAGCATGGGATTTCTGAAGTGCACAGGGAAAGTGGTTACTTAGAGGAGTTTTAAACTACTCTGGATAGGGCAGAAATTGCAGAGACTTTCAAATACCATGATCCATACAATAGTAACATAGTTTCCAACACATTTTAACACTAGGCCACCAAGCCATATCATTAAAAATATAAAAGAAAAGGATATTGGCTGTCTTGAGCCTCAAGATTATTTTGCTTGCCAACGGTTCCTTGTAAGCCATGAAATATGGTTCTATGGGCCAGTCCAGGGTCCAGTGACCATTGTTTGCAGAACAACGTTATGAGTAGCAAAGCCTGAGCAAGCCCATCTTTAAGAAATTCCAATACCAACTGACTGGTCTAATCAGCACCTCCTAAACTAACATGCAGATCGGAACTTAGCTATCCGCCAACTTTAACGCTTCTTGCTTTGAATGTTCAAACATGCCTCAGCTGAAAAACTCATCTTTAGAAATACCTAATAAAATAATAAAATACCTAATAAAATAAGCTCAGAAATACGTATTGAAATGCAACTTTTCATGTGGGGTTTTTTAAAATTAAAAAATTAAAGATTAATATGGAAACAAGACAAAGGAACACATGCAAAAATGGTACAGCCCACAAAAATACTAATTCATTCACGCCCTAGCTACGAAGCACTTTTAAAATGCCTCCTCCTCACATCACCCAATCATTACCGTATTTTTTGCTCTATAAGACTCACTTTTTCCCTCCTAAAAAGTAAGGGGAAATGTGTGTGCGTCTTATGGAGTGAATGCAGGCTGCACAGCTATCCAAGAAGCCAGAACAGCAAAAGGGATCGCTGCTTTCGCTGCGCAGCGATCCCTCTTGTTGTTCTGGCTTCTGAGATTCAGAATTTTTTTTTCTTGTTTTCCTCCTCCAAAAACTAGGTGCGTCTTGTGGTCTGGTGCGTGCTATAGAGCGAAAAATATGGTACATTTCATACACCAACACCTGGCTGTGAACAGCAGCAGCAAAAAGCGGGGAGGAGAGAGCAAGGGATAGAGAGAAAAGATTTGCCAAAGCAAGATTGAGGTCTAACAATATTCAGGCCCCATCCAGTTTCACGTTATAGATCAGAATTTTTCTTTGCTTGACAGCAATATCCAAATAGAAGGCATCCATGCAAAAGGAAGAAGAAGATGCAAATGCTTGTGATGTCTTTTATCCCCATCTACTTAAGTATGGGGCTAACCACCTTCTCCCTTAAAATGCATTGCACAGTAACTGCGTTTCTTACCTTTCCTGCCCACGTTCTCCCAGACAGGCCTTGTAACAGAGCAGAGAGCACCATGCCCAAGTGCGGAGGGACCAGGGAGCCAGTTTGCTTTGCAATGGACGCCATGCTGGCTGCTCCTTGAGCTTTCATCTTCCAAGACTGGGACTGCAAAGCTTTCTGGGTGATTGCTATCAATTCCTCCATATAAAGCCTTATGCCACCGTAAGTACCTAAGTTTCAAAACACACACAAGATTCACAGGGTGAGTAAAGAGCAGCAGAACCAGGTTAGCTTTAGAATACAGCTTCATGAGAACTACTCTAATCTTTACCGAGAGAAAATCTTGTGACTTGGGAATTCTCCGAGGCCAAAACTGAGGACTGTGTTCATTCACTATTAAAATCAATGTACAGTGGTACCTCGGGTTAAGAACTTAATTCATTCTGGTGGTCTGTTCTTAACCTGAGATACCACTTCAGCTAATGGGGCCTCCCGCTGCTGCCACTGTGCCACCACCGCACAATTTTTGTTCTCATCCTGAAGCAAAGTTCTTAACCCGAGGTACTATTTCTGGATTAGCAGAGTTTGTAACCTGAAGTGTCTGTAACCCGAGGTACCACTGTATGTACTTTTGGATTTGTATCCCACCCTTTCTATTTCATTAATAGCAGCTCAAGGGGGTTAAACGTATTCAATTACAACTCATTAGACCAACTTACCAGGCACATTTTCCTGCCAGACTTCAGTCCACAGGTTGCCCTCTTCCTTCTCGCCTTTTTCTTCCTCGGGGACCTCGTGCATGCCCAGGAACGCCAGGGGCAAGACATGTCTGGCTTGATTCTTCAGTACATCTGGGCTGTAGCGCCCAATGGCATGGATGGTCAATGCACAGGCCATTTTATAGACTTGTTCTGAAGTAAAGTACAAAGTTATAGGTGTGGCCACCTGGCTTTCAATTCACAGGGGAGTTGTCTGCTCTTAGGTAGGGGCACAAATTAATATAGATGCATGGCACTTCTAGTTAATTTTTTAAAAAAACTTTTATCATGGAAGCAATGAAGAGACAGGCACTAGCATCAACTATTTGGTGAATTTATCAGAGAAAGGTACATCTTGACCCTTCCGTGTTTCATTTTAAGATGATTTGGGAGCATGGGTCAGAAGGAATACCAGCATTGCCTTTGTGCTATAGAACAGTCATATTTTTTCCTGTCTCATGGTATTTATCATCTCATTAAATGACAAGGTTTAAAATGCACATGCACACATGCACACACAAACATACCTTCTTTCTCCATGTACCAACTGTTCAGCTTCTGCAGCAATTTGTCAGTGCTGCTGTCCCGTGAGGTCTTTTTAAATGAAACAAAATCAGAAAGGCTCAAATCATTTTGGAACATCTGAACGCAAAAAACCCAGGAGTAATAAAATATAAAACTGAGGAGGCACCAAAGCTCCACTCACCCGCACGAGATGTCCCATGGCAAAGGCAAAAGTTTTTTGCACCACGGTGTTTCGATCAGTTAGGCCGCTGAGCAAAGCGCTCATGAGCTTGCCTGCGTGAAAAAGACAATGAGCCAAAATGGTAGCTTTGACAACCGGTTTTGAATTAAGGGGCAAACTGAGTTCCAGAACCTAAATTAAGCCTATGCTTTGTAGGCTAGACCCACCAAAAGTCCCAATTTGGCCCACGTTTCCCTGCAAACCATGTTCATCTGCCCCACTCCTAATGCATATGTGGCATCATATGTCTGCCAAGTACAGCTATGGCTTCACAGGAACAATCAGGGGAATAAATTGAGCTCCTGATCATTCCTTTGCTTGGAGCAAGGTGCGCTCCAACTGCTTGTCAGCTGAAGTGGCTTCCATTCAATTCTTCCTTCCCTCCCTCTCCCCGCTGCATCAGCTCATAGGCAGGCAAAAGAAGCACTTTTCCAGTTTACTGCTTGGTGCTTCCCATCAGTTCTGCTTAAGGAACTGACCGGTTGGTGAGACTGACACCTGCCAATCGTGTGATGTCATAATGGCACCCTGTGATTGACAGCTGGGTTGTGCCACCCAGCTGCCAAAGTCGGCCCATGGGGTGGGGGCCAGGTAAAGATCTGGTTTACGCAGCCCAAAAGATTCCCTGTCCCTGCATTAGGCTAATCCACAGAGTGCTTACTGCTTTTTATTTAAAATGCTTCAATATAAAAACACACAAAGCAGAAACAAGAGCTGGCTAGCTCTATATTATAGAAGCATCCCTTTCCCCAATCACACTTTTACACCATTCGTTTGCAGTGATTTATTTTTTAATAATTTTTATTTGTTTGCAGTGATGTTTTTAATACGGGGAAGGACTGAAAGACCAGGATGACTCTCCATTCACTGAGTCAGTCCTACATAAACTGCAGTGCAGGCAAAAGGGCTCTTTTATCCAGGTGTTGGCAAGGTTTACCTTGCCTGGACCGGTTCACTCCGGTTCTGTGGGCTGGATCAAGCGCATGCCTGCAATTTTTGGCGTCTTGTGTCTGCACAGATGCGATTTTCGGCATCTGCGTCTGTGCAGATGCGCCTTTTGGTGTCTGCGCATGCACAGACACAATTTTCAGCACCGCGGAAGTGAGTCCCCACGCCATGCTGGTTTAGCACAGCACGCAGGGACTCGCCGAGCGGGCGGCTCGGTTCGGGGGCGGCTCATGGGCCGGTTAAACAACCCCCGTGGGCCGCTTGTGGCGCATGGGCCTTAGGTTGCCGAGCCCTGCTTTAATCCAATTTCTCGCAATGCAATACAATTGAGGTTGCAGCAGAGCCCTCCCTTCAGGAATCTCAGCTGCTCACTGCCATCTCCCTTGGCACATGCACAAGATTTAGGGAAAGGCTGTGACAAAGCCTCTCTTGTTATTGACACTGCTGAAGGAGGACAGATTAGAGACTACAGCACTCAACATTCACATATCCCAGGAACTCAGTGAAACAGTCAGACACCTGATACCAATGTGACAGTCAAGCTACCATACCTTTCAAGTAGCAGCAGAATGCCCTGTTCCAAGCAAAGTGAATAATTTGAGGCATAATTGGGAAAGGATAGGGGCGCATCGGCTATATGCTACCTTCATCTTATGTCTGGGCTGAGGTGTGAGATATTATTATTTAAAATGATGATGACGATGATGCCGAGCCCTTAGCTGAGCAATCTGAGAGTTGCCCACTATCCCAACCTAAACGCCATCGTTGTTAAAACCAGATTATTCAAGCACAGATAATTAGGTGTGTATTATAATTAGGAAATGTGCTTCTCGCTAGAGACTAGGAATACAGAAAACAACCAAAGTGTAAGGTGGGGGGGGGGAGAGACACCCACCTGAATACGGCGTCAGGTCTTGAGGGCACTGAGTGGTCAGTGATACAATTACACTAGCACAACCGCCCTGAAAATATGGGAAAGCGAAATCCAGTTATGAGCTTACTCTGCTGGGCGAGACACGGGTTTTGCAAGCCTATGCACATTTACCAGACATGTAAACCTGATATGCATTTTAATATTTACCTTCAGCTTAGAATGCATACTTTTAACTCTTGGGTTTCATTCATTTTGCTTTTTTTAAAAAAAAACTTGGTTTGAAGTCTATTTTCATCGACAATTTTAACATACATATTATATTCTTTGCAGTTAAGTGGTAAGTAAAATGTTGTTAAATAAATAAATGAATTGCTTTGAAATAAGCCCCACTGAATTCATCAGGACATATTTTGAAATAAATATGCCTAGGATCGGTCTGACAGTCATTCATTGTCAGGCTTCAGAGAATCAGATCCCTCCCCCAGCGGCAGTAATTAAGCAGATCAAATGAAAGGAGCGTTCTGACCAGGTAAGTTCTTTAATAATCACAGCGAGAGACAACGGAATGCCTATCTCTCAAAAAAATGGCGTTGCTCCCAGTAAAGGTTGTCCCCATTAATCTACGTCACTCCTACATCGGGTAACCTGAGCTTGTTGCCGTTGCGCTTTCTGTTCTATCACTTTCCAAGCCCTTCTAGTCTTAGGTGAGGGGGGGGGTCAGGAATACTGTCCAAGGAGACTGAATCTGCCAGCTGTCTCTCTCTTGGTGTTTCCTCTTCTAGCTGTTCCTCACCCAGTATTTCCCAGCTCCCCCCCCCGGGCTATTCCCCTCTGCAAACCACTGTCCTAAATCAATACTGTCCTCCTGCCCTTGGAAAGGTTCAGAAAAAGGAGGGGTGGCTCCCACCATTCTTCCTCAGTCCAGTCCCTGACATTCATTCTATTGGTACTTGCAGTTTCTATATTCACCCTAGGTACCTGAAACTTTGGGGAATCTATGCACAATGGAGGAGCTGGATTGCACCAATTCTCTCTCTCTCTCTCTCACACACACACAAAAACACATACACGTGTGTGTGCCTTTTCATTACCACTAAGCCTGCCTCACATTTACAGTTGCCGCCCCACCAGAGGGCTCAGCTCCTCATCATATCTTAAAATCAAACGATCACAGAGCTATATGGCAGACCCAATACATATTTTCCTAGCCACTTAGTCTGTGCTTTCCCATCTCTGTCCTCCTTGCAAAACAGCCTCCTAGAGAAATAATGATACCTTGGTGCCGACGCCTAGTCCACTTCTAGTCAGTTCGCACAGCCTGGGAACCAATTCACCCAGAACAGAAACATCCAAATACTGTAAGCACTATAGAAAGTGAAAATCAAAAGGTGAAAATCAAAAGATTGACAAGACTGGTGCCATTAGTAAAGAATGCTGGTGCCATTATTAAAAAATGCTGTTCATAAGCTGCTTGCTAGCGCATCACCAGAAGGCTTAGGGACAATCTAGTTGTGCTATGCTAGACCTGTGATGGGCAACCTGGGTGATAACCGATCACCTGCCGAAGAGCAAAGGGAGAGCTGTGTGCTAAGGAGGGAGACTCAGATGATCAAGGGCCTGGAAACCAAGTTTTATAAGGAATAGCTGAGAGAACTGGGTATGTTTAGCCTGGTACAGAGGAGATATGATAGCCCTCTTCCAACTTCTAAAGGGCTGCCACATAGAGGATGGAGCAACCTTATTTTCTCCTGCTCCAGAGGCTAGGGCCTGAACTGATGGATTTGTTACAGGAAAGGTAACTCCGACTAAACATCAGGAAGATTTTTCTGGCAGTAAGAGTTGATCCAACAGTGGAACAGACTCCCACAAGTGGTGGTGGGCTCTCCTTCCTTGGGAGGTTTGAAACCAGAGGTTGGAGGGCCATCTGTCATATATGATCGGATTGAGATTTCTGCATTGCCTGGGGGTTGGAAGAGATGACCCCAGGGTCCCTTGCAACTGTAAGATTCTATGATTCTTAAGTGAACACAAGTTACCTACCATGTTGATAGTCTCCATCATGGGGGAGGACTTAGCAGCACTGAGTCTTGCGCTATCCATTGCCGCCTGAAGGACACAGAGAAAAACAAAAAAAGTGTATAACCAGAATCTGAAATTAGTAAAGCAGCAAGAGAAAACAGAAGGTGTATATGGTTACCAAGCAAGAAGCAAGAACGGTAATATTAAAAGCGTCTGGAGAGTCAGAGGAACAAAAGTCCCATGAGCAGGAGGAGGATTTAGAAGTATTTGACTGCACTCAAGATTTCACTTGTTTCGTTAACCTGAGATTTATATTTTAACTTGAGGTGGGGAACCTGTGGTCCTCCAGATATTGAACTCCCAACTCCCATCAGACCCAGCGAGCATGCCCAATAGTGAGAGATGATAGGAATTGTAGTTTTGCAACATCTGGGAGAGGCACAGGTTCAATATCCTTTCAAATTCAAGTGGCATTTTAAAAATAAAATGCATTACAATGTTTAATTCCATTAAATCCACCATCTCATTCCTCCATAGCCGCAAAAGCTTTTAACACATAACCGCTGATGTCCATTTACTTATATATGTGTGTTTGCTTGCACTGACCTTTTCCTGCTCCGTAGCACGCAGACTCAAGTAATTGAGGACCTGGGGTTCCAGCACACTCAGAGACTCCAACAAAGCTGGGATGAGCTTGGGTGCGTGTGGCTTGAGCATGGCCCCGGCACTTTTACTGATCTTCACCAAGGTGTTAATGCTATAGCAAAAGGTACAGAGAATAAGGATGGAAGAAAGGCATACCCCTGAAGGCATACTCTTCCATTGTGTCCTCAGACAGACAGATGCCAACAACAACAGTGCAGAAATGTCTTCCCCTAAGTTAGTATATCAATAGATGGGGTTGTCTAGTTCATCTCAGTTAAGAACATATGGAGGCCAGAAGAAAGATTCTTTGGCTGGATATACTCAAGGTATTCAATTGGGGAAAATGGGGAAATGTGAGAACGCACCTGAGAGTCCGCACTTCAGTCACAGTATTCATCATTCCTTTATCAAGCAGGCATGGCAACAGGACAGCTATTGTTCTCTGGCCTGCAGCTCCTTTGGACGGGTCGCACATCTTCACACACACCTGAAAAGAAAAAGAAGACACTCCAGTGTGACCCTCCGCAAGCTCTCCTCCTTGAATGAACATGCGTGTTGCTGTGATGAATATAAGAAGCCTTAACCAAGAATACATGGGGTCAGGTTGTGATGGGAGGGGAAATTCTGCAGGTCAGTGGAATGGCTTTGGTCCATGCAGATTCAATGAAAATTTACCTTACTTAATGTTTTCAGGGCTAACTCTGCTGCCTTCCGTACAGATTCCTGCAAAAGAAAAAAAAGGGGGGTAGGGGGGTAGTTTTTGATTTTAAGCTGTTCAATGTAATTTAAGTCACTATGAACCACAGAGGGATTTCATCCTGATGTTTTTGTCCTAACCTGCGTTGCTCATTTGGGGAACCGTATTACCTGAATCAGTATGGGAGATGACCCATAGGGCAAATGTAAGGGCTTCCATGTAGAGTCCAGGTGTTACCGTATTTTTCGCTCTATAAGACGCACCTAGTTTTAGAGGAGAACAAGGAAAAAAATATTCTCTCCCTCTCTGCACAGCGCCCCTTCAGCGAAGTGGGAGGAAAAATGGAAGGGGCTCCGTTTCTCCTCCCGCTTTGCTGGAGAGGCACTGAGCAGAGAGGGAGAGAATATTTTTTTTCTTGTTCTCCTCTAAAACTAGGTGCGTTTTAGAAAGATGTGCAGCACCTCTCCTGGCTTCAGCGAAAGCTGCACAGCCTGCATTCTCTCCATAAGACACACACACATTTGCCCTTACTTTTTAGGAGGGGGAAAGTGCGTCTTATAGAGCGAAAAATACAGTAACAACCCTGCTGCACACAGCACAGACAGGTAAGACACAGGCACACTACAGGATCAAGCTCACTAACCATCTATGGTATGAGTACAAAACTTAGTGAGATTCAGTAGGGCAGGAGTGAAGAACCCTTTTTTATTTTATTTTTTTGGCCCGAGTGTCACATTTCCTCTTGGTCAACTCTCTGGGAATCACGTATCAGCAGCAAGGGGAAGTGGGTGTGGCCCCCCACGCAACCCCCCACCCACCCACAATCTTCTCCGGCTCACTCCAGCAATTAGGCTTGAAAAAGAAATCTGGCTGTTTTGCAAGCCTAAATGCTAGAGGGGAATCCTGGTCTCCCAAGAACCTAGGGAGGAAGTCTTAACTCTTCCCTTTCCAGGAAAATCACATCCTGCCCTCCAGCAACCATTAGGCTGATAGGGGGCAAATTGTATATTCAAGCCAACAGGCTCCCCACCCCAGCCTAATTACAGTGAGCAGAAGTGTTTTTTGGCCTGAAGAGGCAAGTGTCACTGTACATGCCAAGATCATTGCTGTCCCAGCTGTAACCACCATCACAACTAGGCTTGAAAGAAGTTTGCATTGCCTCCAGCAGAATGCCCTTTATACTCTTTGCAAGACTAATTGTGGTGGAGAGGGGAGGAGCGGGGCAGAAACCGGATGCTGCAAGCTGTTAAGCTTCACAGTGGAAAAATTGCAGGCCACTGGTTCCAATGGCAACCTGGGGTGAAGGGTATTTAAAACAGGATGGAAAGGTTTAAGCCCCCTCCCTGCTATATTACCACAACTGATTACGTTTGATGATACTACCCTTATTAATGTACAAAATTAAAAATACAGAGATCAAAATAATAATAATAATTTATTATTTGTACCCCAACCATCTGACTGGGTTGCCCCAGCCACTCTGGGAGGCTTCCAGCATATTTAAAAACATAGCAAAACATTAAACCTTAAAAGGCTTCCCTATACAGGGCTGCCTTTAGGTGTTTCCTAAATGCTGTATAATTACTCCTTAACATCTAATGAGAGGGCCTTCTACAGTGTGGGTGCCACTACCGAGAAGGCCTTCTGATCCTCTCACTTAATCTGTCCAGGGTAGCTTGACCCTGGCTCTACCTAAAAAAATTAATAAATGTAACTGGAGACAAACCCTATAATAATACGAAGATGCTTCGAAAGTTAAGACGTAAGCTCTGATACATTGTACCCTCAAAACTGTATCCTCAGATAACTAGAAATAGTATGTGCGGTGCATATCCCTGAAGTGTTGCTTTTATTAAAATTCTTCGTGGTTTTTGTTTTATAGGCCTTGAAAATCACCCAAAATTTGTGCTGGCTGTGGAGTGGAGGGACAGGTCTTGTATGCAACATCACACTATATACAGGGGAAAGCAAATTCTAACAGCGGATCTGAGTTTGACTGACACCAAGAACCAGCTGGAATTCTCCCAGTGATTCCAGTTGGAAAAAGGAAATGTCCAAGTCCTCAGCAGCAAACTGTTTGTGAAAGCCTGTTTTTATGTCCTGTAGAAACGGAACAATTTATACTAGACATGTAAAAAACTTTAGTACCTTTATGTCATCTTGCACTCTAAAGAGAGTTTCCCATATTTCTGGAAGTTTATGAATAATGTCGTCCAAGGGTCTTCCTCTTAGCAAATCATTCAATGCTAGACAGCTATGGCAAGAGCTTAGTCATTATACTTTATTAACACCAAGTTTCTCAAAACCAATAATATTAAGAAAGAAAAAAAAACTTAGAAGGATCATTTTCCAAACAGTAATGCCTATGAGGAAAAGACCTCTTAATTTCACTGGGGGGATAAATCTCATCTAGCCCCCCAAATCTCTTCAAATATAATTCATTCCTATTTTAAAACTCCCTTCCCTCTACAAAAAGAGGCTTTAGGATAGCAGGTGCATATGTGGTGCTTATGAGTGATGCAAATTTAACAGCAAATTCCTTTATTCCTCCTGCCTGTGGCTCAGAGATTAAAAAATAAATAAATCACCCAATGCTGGAAATCTACACGTCGAGCCCCGAACCTTCCGAAAGCACGAAACTTTTTATTTACATGGGAACAAATGGTTTCAGAAAGACATACCTGGACTCTCGGATCCGCCACATGTTACTGGTCAAGTTGCTTATTAAATCATCAAGGATTTCTTTCATATATTTGTCCACCTGATCAAATGAAAATGAACTGTAAACATTAACGGCTTCCCTGTATCCAGAAATGCTTTTTCCTGTACTATGCACAGCATGCATCTAGCAAAGTGTGCCTTATCTGACCTCGTCACGGACTATTTTCCTAGCGTCTTGCCCGTTTAAAAGAATATCCAGCTATCTAAAACTCTTTTACATGTTATGAGCTGCCAAACCATCACAAAAATACGGGGATAGAGAACGGCTTTCCGTTACTTACTGCAGATTTGTCTGTCACAAGCGCATTCCAAATGCTGGTCATAGCCTGCCGGATCCCTAGATTGGGGTCAAACTGGTAGCGATAGAGACGAGGAAGAAGCTGGGGGAGAAAAGGGGCGAGCTGTTCCCCAGCTTTGGTTGCAATCACATTAAAACCGAAAGCAGCTCCCTGAGAAAACAAAAAAAGTACGGTTAAAGCCAATAACTTAAAAACCTCCATCTTAATAATACTAATGCTACGACCAATTGTAATTTTTATGTTGCTCCCCACCCATCCAGCTGAGTTTCCCCCAGCCACTCTGGGCGGCTCCCAACAGAATATTAAAAACACAATAAAACATCAAACATTAAAAACTTCCCTAAACAGGGCTGTCTTCTGATGTCTTCTAAAAGTCAGATAGTTGTTCATTTCCTTGACATCTGAAGGGAGGGCATTCCACAGGGCGGGCGCCACCACCGAGAAGGCCCTCTGCCTGGTTCCCTGTAGCCTCACTTCTCGCAGTGAGGGAACCGCCAGAAGGCCCTCAGAGCTGGACCTCAGTGTCCAGGCTGAACAATGGGGGTGGAGATGCTCCTTCAGGTATACTGGGCCGAGGCCAGTATTAAATAGTATTTACTTTATGTTTCATTTTTAATTTTCTTTAATGTGATGAATTACTGAAAATATTTATATAATAAGTTAACATCTTACATTAAAAACCTGACAGTACCAAACTATCGAAAGCTTTTCACCAAAGCCAGACTACACGTCTTTCTTTCTGCAGTGTTGGATGGCAGGTTGAGAGGAGTGCCCTACCAGGACAGATTTTGCTCATGTGGCTCAAGACATCGATTCCATAAAACATATTTGGTTGCACTGTGCAAAATATGAGCAAGCCAGGGCTGAACTGATATTACCCTTGCTGGTACCTTTCCCAGGAAAATCAGAGGCTCACTATGTCAGGTTCCAAGACCGGACAAACGCTAGAACATTAGCAGTGGCAAAGTTTTTATCGGTGGTTGCAAGAACCAATGATCCCTATATTCTGAACAAAATGCTTGTTTAACCTGGAGGTAGGATGTATGAATTGTGTATTGCTTTGTAACGATTTGTTGGGTCTCTGGACCGTAATAAAGATTGATGATGATATATAAAACAAAAGTGTTACTACTAGCCACAATGGCTATGTTGTACCTCCACTGTCAGAAACAGTATGCCTCTGAGTACCAATTACTGGAAATCACAAATGGGTGCAATGCTGCTGAGCCCTTGTCCTGCTTTTGAGCTTCCCATAGGCACCTGGTTGGCTACTGAGAACTGGATTCCGGGCTAGAAGAGCCACTAGTCTCACCCAGCAGTAAAGTCTTCTTATGTTCTTATCCCTTCTAATTTTTTTAAGATTCTACAATGCTGGGTTTCAGGTCACAGTTCAAAAAAGGGGAACAACTTCCTACAACGTGACCCGGAACGTGCACCTTATTACAGGCGTTTGTTTTGTTCCGTTCCACCGTTCGCACTTTTAGTAGCCTTAAATGCAATTACCTTCCGAGAGTTCCACATTGCATGGTGATTGGCCAAATTCATGAACTTGTACACCAAGTCCGGCTGGTTGAGGTCGCTAGCGAGCGAACAAAGCTCCTGGTAAGTAGAAAGACCCTGGCTTGGGAAAACAGGAATGAAAAATTAATGCCGCTTTTAAAAAAAAAACACCAAAAAAACCCTCCACTTGGAAAAATTACAACGGACATGGGACTTTTATATTGTTGAAAGTCGCATCCTGGGCGTCGATTTAAATAACAGCTATTGGACAGTAGAGTACTTTTTCAAAACTCTTAAATGGGAAAACTTCCCGATAAAACTGAATGAGGAAACCAACACCTTCAGATTTAGTGTATTCATCGTTCTAGAGCAGGAGTCAGCAAACTTTTTCAGCAGGGGGCCGGTCCATTGCCCCTCAGACCTTGTGGGGGGCCGGACTATATATTGGGGGGGGGATTAAAGAATTCCTATGCCCCACAAATAACCCAGAGGTGCTTGTTAAATAAAAGGACACATTCTACTCATGTAAAAACATGCTGATTCCCAGACCATCCATGGGCTGGATTTAGAAGGCCCCTGGGCCTTCGTTTGCCTACTCATGTTCTAGAGAAAGAAGCGGGGGGGGGGGCACACCCAAGGAAGCCTTTTTCAGAGTCCAAACATTGCAATTAGTCAATGAGCTTACCCATCTGGAGTCTTGCCGAGGCCTGATCCCTGGAACATCACTGTCTCCCCAGTCACTTCATGCCTGGCTCTGGAAAAAAAGTATGCTTTTATAGTAAAAACAAAACAAAAAACAAACCCTAAAAGATTAGAGAACTATTCAAGTGTTTGAAATCCATCACGTGATGACAAAGCAAATAGGAGTGAGCACATCAGCTCTTCCGCTCCCATTCCCACGCTCTCCGTAAAGTGGGGGGGGGGGTCACTTTGGCAGTGGGGTGCGGGTCTACTCAACACTTGCAAATCCCCTGCCTGATTCAGAACCTGGTTTTCCAAGGTTCCAAAATCCACAGGAAGCTTGCAGGGTTAAAAACCCCCTGCTTCAGAAGTTATTCTTCCTACTTGTGGAGGATGATGTGTGATAGCAAGGGCAGGGACTGTGTACCCAGCCATGAACACCCCCCGTTATGTTAGCTGCTTAGAAAACCTGAACAGGGCTACGGACTACATAGGACTCTTGGTACCAGCAAAATAGTACCAGCTCTGAGCATACAAAAGAACCTATCAACTGCTGCTCATATTTTGTTAGCTAAAAAGTGGAAAACCCAAGAATTACCAATGGCAGATGAAGAATGGCAGATGAAGATGATGGATTTTTTGGAGCTAGCCGACCTAACCGGAAGAGTCCACGACCAGAAGGAGGAGGAGTATCAGGAAGAGTGGATTAAATTTAATGATTACTTAGTTAAATATGTTAAGTTAAATTAACTGAAAACACCTTGCAGATACTTAATTGGCTTAGGATTTTATTTATGTTAAGTGATGAATTAATATGTTTAATTTCATAAAGTGAAGATTTAAGGATGTTAATGTTTAAGTTAAATTTTGTAGAATTGTGCCTTGGGAAACCGTTAAAAGGATATGCAATGAAATTCAACCAAGGGGAAGCGGTGAAGTCACTTAACAAAGTTAGTAAGTGTAATTTTCAATAAGGCTATGATTTATGTTTGTTTGTCTTATGTGTTTGTTTGTTTATAATATTGTGAAAACCAATAAAAATGTTTTGGAAAACACACACAAAAGAACCTATCATGAAAGCAGGCATGTATAATGGACAATAGATCACATTCACTTTCAAGGACTCTACTCCACTTTCATCTGTCAGGCAGAATGAAGGAGTGCACCCACCTGACAAAATTAGGAAGGAAGATGAGGGTAAAAAACTAATGCACCCCGCATCTGTGAGTCCCCTCTCTCATGTAACAGATTGTGTGCACAAGACAGTTTCGAAAATGCTTAAAAGTCTGTTTGTCTGACAACCCGCCCCCCAACCTGCTCACAGGTCCTTGTATGATCAGTGGAAACAGTTGGCCCTGGCAAGTATCAACCACTCTCAATTCCAACCTGATAATTGCCGCCTGCCTAGATTTTAACTTGTCTGAATTAATTTTAAGATGTATTTTAATTAATTGATGTCTGTTTTTATGCATATTGTGTTGTTTTTATGTTAGCTGCTCTGAGCCCAGCCTCGGCTGGGGAGGGCGGGATACAAATTATTATTATTATTATTATTATTATTATTATTATTATTATTCTGCCCCACCTGATTGGCAGTATTTTAGTTATTCTGATAAGACTTGGGTCTGCAGCATGTACATTGAATACACCAACTTGTACAAATGTTATAAATGAGCTCATAATCACGCCACTGCCACGCCAGGATAGATGGAGCTACAAGGTCATTCAGTCCTGACCTCTACACCCAGACCAGAATTTTCACCTTTAGGATTGGGCCACCGTGCAAAAAGGTTTTACACAAGGAAGCCCACATTCAATCCAAATTGCAGTCTCTATTAAGCATGTGGTGGATAACCAGCATGTCCCAAACATACCTGGGGATTTAAGTGAAATATTTCACACTCGTGATTCACAAATGGTGCCCTCCCTTTAGCAAATGTAGGCAAAGGGGCTTCAGGGCTTCCTTTCAAAGACACCAGCTAACACCCTGTCTGTGGCTGGTATTCAACCATGTTTTACTCAGTGTAATCCTTTTGAAATTAATGGACCTAACTTAATCAAATTATTTAATTTCAGTGGGTCTTACTCTAAGTAAAGCTTACTGGAATACCACTCTTTACATTTAAGTCCCTTATTTTCAAAGCTTTGTCTCTTAAACCACACTCTCCTCTTCTCTGACACAGATTCCACACACAACGAGGTGCAAACAAGTACCTTCTCCCAGTCATAAGAGTTTCCACAAGAGTAGTAACCAGCTCCTGCTGGTCTTGCTCACTCCCAAGCTCATACACCAAACCGAGGCCTTTGGAAGCAACATCTTGACTGAGTTCTTCGAGAAACAGAAAACAAAATCGTATGAATAGGGAATAAGAATTAGAGCTCTAGCAAAATAAGGATGACATTAAGATATGCTTCACATGCATAAAAAGTACAGAAGCTCTGCAAACGAGCTGAGTGTTTGAAACACCACCACAACCTTGAACTAGCTATCATTGTGATCCAGAAAATCAGGCTAGACAGTCTGAAGTCCTACAAGTTATGGGGAGTCCTCTCTCATGCATAGGAATGTTGCCTTGATGCATGACAATTCCCCACTGTGCTTCTGGCACATTATAGAAGATCGCAGGAAAAAGCCTTTGCACACTTGGGTTGCAATTCCAGAATGCCATAGTGCATTCTGGAGGAGAAGGGCATGCACACTGTAAGGCTTTGGGGATAACTACAGTCATACCTTGGAAGTCAAGCGGAATCCGTTCTGGAAGTCCGTTCAACTTCCCAAATGTTTAGAAACCAAATCGCTGCTTCTGATTGGCTGCAGGAAGGTCCTGCAGCCAATCAGAAGCCGCGGAAACCGCGGTGGAAATTCGGCTTCCAAAGAACGTTCACAAACCGGAACTTCTGGGTTTGTGGCATTCGGGAGCCAAAACGTCCGAGTACCAAGGCGTTCGGGATCCAAGGTACGACTCTATTGGAGAGGACAGTGCCTTAGGATCTAGAGAAAAGCAGGGGGAATGGGAACATTGCATGTCCTGTGGCTGCCTGCTTAGCTAGGTACAATAGTAGTAAAAACTTTGAAAGCGTTGTTTACTGTGCACAAACTTCTCTCCCAGCCCATCGTTCTGGTCATGGTGGTCTGTTTTACAATATGCTTTACATATTGATCCAACAAAGAGTATCACTTTTAGAGTCTCTGCTTTACACACTGATCCATCAGAAAGTATCACTTTATCTATCTCACAGCACTAATTTTCTGAAACCAGCATGTCAGTAGCAGTCTATATTTTTAATTTCCACTCTCTGTTCGTATTCAGTAGTTGCTTTACTTCACTGCATTGCTGAATGATAAACTTTACTGTTACATGGCACTGAAACAAATATACAGGGCTGCATCTAAGAATAACAGTTTGGATAATGCTCTTCTACTTGTATCAATACTTGTAGCAAAAATAGTAATAAACAAAAATTAGGTTATAATCTGAATTCCAAGAAGGCTATGCTTAAAAAAAAAAGCGCCCAATTTCAATAGCCCAGTTTATTTTTTGAACTCGTTCTTAGAAGTGCAAAGCCAGCAAAAAGATAAAATGAATGCAACTCTATTCAGCAACAACTCCTATTGAGTTCAATGGAAGATACTCCCAGGTAAACTGTATGCAATTGCTGTTTAACTTGCATTGCGTCAGCTTTTTCCTTCATCGACAATGCCTGATGATGGTTTCCATTTCTAATGGAGAACAGCAGGTTTTTAATCAAGAGGCAAGACTGTGTAAGAACTGGTAGGGCCTCCCCACAGAGTCCTATCTGGAGCCCTCACTGCTATAATTCAGTAAGATTCCCCCCCCCCAGGGTTTTAAGAAGCACTATAGTTTGCCTTATTGTTACTGGTTCCTTGCAGCTGCAAGTTTTGCCTGCTGTTGCTGGAGGATGGATGCTCAATAACCATCTCTTCCTGCCTTTGTGAACCCAACAAAACAAAACGGAGGTAGGGAGATGGCAAAGCACTCCTATCAAACAAGCAAAAATCAGGCAAAACCACAGCCAGCCCACTGCTGCCCAAGGCAAGGCAAGGCAAGAAAACAAGACCAAAAAAACAAACAACCCAAGACAAAACAAAACAGTAGGAGAGCCTTGACAGCGCCAAGGAGAATGTCAGTGTCTGTTGGCACTGGGCTGATATGGGCACCATGTTCGGGACCCTAATGTTAGTCTGTATGATTCATTTTATAGGGTTTCTAAAACTGCAATGTTATTTTTTTCTTACTACTTTGTTAGCCACCCTGGTGTCGTGCTGGAGATGTGCAAAACAAACCATGTAAAGAGGAAAGCAAGTAGAATTCTGCTTACCGTCACTGTCGGATAGAGTAGTCACAAATGCAGTTTGGATTTCTTTGAGGTGAGACTGCAAAAGAAGAGGGGAGGGAGGCAGCTTGTTGCTCACATTCTGAGACTCATCCTACTAGAGTGTCTGAAAAAGTCTCCCATTAATATAAAGAAGAATAAAACCTGTGCCCAATAACCCATCTGCACATTGGGGCGGGGGGAGGACTAGATCACAGGGCAGGAAATTCCAAGGCTGCGTATGAACTCGGTACAGCCTGGTTTGCAGGAAACAAAGGTTCATTCCCTATGTTAACGTGTTGCCTTCTATGAAAGAAACATCTGAGCCTACGCAGTTGCCCTGCACCATGGTTTGGGTTACTATGACATGCAAACCAGGCAAATGAGAAAAGAGAGCACAAAAGATTGACAAAACCAAACAGAGAAAAGAAAGAAAGAAAGAAAGAAAGAAAGAAAGAAAGAAAGAAAGAAAGAAAGAAAGAAAGAAAGAAAGAAAGACAGGGGAGATTTGCTTTGTCTTCATACCTTAATTTCTTTGTGGGTGCTGAGCTTCTTCACCAGTGATAAAAGCCAGATGCAGGATGCTTGTCTTATGTGAGGGTTGGGGCTGACAATGTGCTTATTCAAAATGACATCCAAGACCCAGGGAACCACGTCATTAACTTTCACATCTATTTTAATTAAACAAACAGAGAAGGGAGAGAATTTATTCCAAACAAAAGAATTTGGGGGGAAACAAACTGGTCCATCGGCTAGCACTTAATGTTTTAAAATTAGAAGTTCAGCATTTTGGCCCTTACGGGACTTTTGTCCAAGTTCAGGTAACCTCCTGTAGGCTTGTGCTTAGGAAAATCTGCAACATACACTATATATGGTTAGAGTGGAATCTAAATCATGACTTTGGTGGGTCAATGTTCTTGGCTTAAGGCCTCGCCGAGGTACATTCAGCATCAAGCGAGGATTCAAAAGGACCAAACTCAGAATAAAATGCAGAGACAAAAAGGCTCGACACAAATTAGGAAAACCAGATATGTTTAACTGCAGGTGCTTTTCTCCTATCAATTATGAACTGAAGATATTACAGTGGTACCTCGGGTTACAGATGCTTCAGATTATGTGTTTTCGGGTTGCGCATTGCGCTGAACCCAGAAGCACTGGAACAGGTTACTTCCGGTTTTCGGCACTCGCGCATGCACAAAAGCACTACATTGCGCTTTGCGCATACGCAGAAGCGCCGAATCGCGACCCACACATGCGTCAACGCAGTGCTGCGGGTTCCGAACATGCCTCCCGCATGGATCACGTTCGCAACCCGAGGTTCCACTGTACATCCTATTACAAGGCTAAGGGGCTGGAGACAGGCTTAATCCCAGGTGGCTATTAAGCATTTGAGTGTGAAGCCAGCATCTGAAGGGGAGGGGGAGAGAAACTGAATAGAAGAGATTAGTTTCCACTGATACTGATCTGGCATTGAACTGATGAAAAGGGGGATAAAGGATTGCATACACAAGTAGTCATTTATCCCCAAACCTACCAGCGGGAGGAGTATATTCTTCTTCAGCTACCATCCACGCATCCCGGGCAGCTACAGAGCTAGTTCCTATCGCAGCACTGGTAATAGCTTCACCAACAGTAAACTGCAGTTCAATTTGCTTGGCCTGAGAAACACACACAACAGGAATTACATTTCAGCTTGCTCAGTTCTCCATTGGCAACATGAAAGTTCTGGCTGTTCTAGAGAGCAAAGGGAGGCGTGCCTTTTTTGCTGAACTGCTCTGAGGGATCTGCCAACTCATTCCTATGTTCGGGAGCTAACACTCTAACAAAACTTCTAAGTGACCGAAAACAGCACAAAACATGTCACTCAAAGGGCGAGGCAGAACAGAGTGGAGCCCGCTTATATAAGTTGCAGGGGCCGGGAACCATGCGAAATGGTCGTTGACTCCCATCAGATGTCAAGGAAACAAACAGCTATCTGACTTTTAGAAGACATCTGAAGGCAACCCTGTTTAGGGAAGTTTTTAATGTTTGATGTTTTATCATGCTTTTAATATTTTGTTGTATTATTATTATTCAAAATCTACAAATACGAAAGCAAGCCTGCTACACCAACTTATCTAAAAAAAGGAATACAATTTAAGATGCTAAAGCATACCCCTTTGAAAGTGTGGCACAAATGACTAAATACCAATTTTAACCCTTCATATTTAATGTATAACATTAGAGCATTACCTCTACAGAATCCATCAATCCTTGTAAGAGTAGCTTCTGGTGGGGGAAATTTCCATCCCCTACTGGAAAGTAACCCAGCGTTTGTATAGCTCGTTCCTTCATCTAAAAGAAATCAAAGGAACTTTATAAAAACACCTGTCTGTGTAAATAGGTGGGAAGACAAACCTCCTAACCTCAGAAGTACATCAAGCTAGCTGAATGATCACAAATTCTGCACAAAACATTGAGTCCTGTGCAAATACTGTAAGATGCATGAACAGCCAACAGAAATGTGTGTTTGCCATGAGCAGTACAATTTGCCTACCCAAAAGATTATTCTAAATCCCTGCTCAACTGATTTGCGATTCATAAAAATAACAACATAACCGCCCCCCCCTTTTTAATTTGGACAATAAGTTTTATAAAAATCAGTCTTTTATCCATAAGAAGATGGGCTTTATTTTTCTGCCTCACATGAGTAAACCTATAAACACACATGCATAAAGAAACAATGAACCGTTGCAAAACATTACCTTATTAGTTTCCTTGCCTGAGGGAATTCTGGCTAGCAAACTTTCAACAAGATGAAGCTTTGTAAATCCAGTCCCTTCATTCGGGATGGGCAGAGGCGCATTTCTGCCTATTTCCCCCAGTGCTGTACAAGCAGCTACTGCCAAGAGGGGTGAGGTACTATCCAGAAAAGAACCTAAAATAAAAACAAACAGGATGACTGAATTTCTCCTTTAAAAAGCCAGTAATTCAAAAATTTAAGGCAGGCATAGGCAAACTACAGCCCTCCAGATGTGTGACTACAATTCCCATCATTCCTAGCTAACAGGACCAGTGGTCAGCCAAACTATTGCTTAGTTCAGGGCAGCAGCAGAATAACTGGGGAAAGATAAAGTTCCAGCAAGCTCACACCATTGTTTGGTTTACTGCAATGTGCAAATCAGGCAACACAAAACGTAATCTCATGTTATGAATTGATGCCAAAGCAACAAACAAAACATCGTGCCAATTCCTAAGTAGGGGGTTTAAGATTGCTAATGTGTTATGAGAGCTTTGTAGCAGAGCCCCCTGTTTGTCCGCACAGTGAGGATTAGAGAAATGGAACCAAATGAGTCAAGAATACAGGCAAAGTACAAAAGGCATAAACTGACCAATCGTTTCTGTCGTTGACTTTATCAACTGGTCTTGTTCTGGGGCAACAATGGTATTTGGATCTTCCAAGTCATGCAGTTCCACCATCCTCATTTTTCTCTTTGACAAATACCGTCCAACTGTAAATCCCAGAGCCAACAAAGATCCATGTTGCATTTCCAGATTCTGCAGATAAAAAGGAACAATCTCACTAAAACAGATGCAAATCACTAAAGGATACATACCAGGGCATCATAAGCTCTGCATACAAATTAAAGCAGTGATGTGACTTTCTATTGGTTATCTAACTCATCTAAAGAAATATCAACAACCTCAGATATGCAGATGACACAACATTGATGGCAGAATGTGAGGAGGAATTAAAGAACCTTTTAATGAAGGTGAAAGAGGAGAGTGCAAAATATGGTCTGAAGCTCAACATCAAAAAAACTAAGATCATGGCCACTGGTCCCATCACCTCCTGGCAAATAGAAGGGGAAGAAATGGAGGCAGTGAGAGATTTTACTTTCTTGGGCTCCATGATCACTGCAGATGGTGACAGCAGCCACGACATTAAAAGACGCCTGCTTCTTGGGAGAAAAGCAATGACAAACCTAGACAGCATCTTAAAAAACAGAGACATCACCTTGCCAACAAAGGTCCGTATAGTTAAAGCTATGGTTTTCCCAGTGGTGATGTATGGAAGTGAGAGCTGGACCATAAAGAAGGCTGATCGCCGAAGAATTGATGCTTTTGAATTATGGTGCTGGAGGAGATTCTTGAGAGTCCCATGGACTGCAAGAAGATCAAACCTATCCATTCTTAAGGAAATCAGCCCTGAGTGCTCACTGGAAGGACAGATCCTGAAGCTGAGGCTCCAATACTTTGGCCACCTCATGAGAAGAGAAGACTCCCTGGAAAAGACCCTGATGTTGGGAAAGATTGAGGGCACAAGGAGAAGGGGACGACAGAGGACGAGATGGTTGGACAGTGTTCTTGAAGCTACCAGCATGAGTTTGACCAAACTGCAGGAGGCAGTGGAAGACAGGAGTGCCTGGCGTGCTCTGGTCCATGGGGTCATGAAGAGTCGGACACGACTAAACGACAAACAAAACTCATCTAAAACGACATCCTCCATTAATTCAACAACACTTAAAACCCTTTAATCAATATTATCTGTTACAAACACAGAATTGTAAGGATATTTTTAAAATATCTGGTATACAATTAAATTAAATTCTAGTTAGTGACATGATGTATTCTGTTTTTTCAAATCATAACTTGCAGAGTTTTCACCCAAAATGATGTGTCGTCATCCCCCCCCCCCATTTGTTTGCCTATTTTAATTATAGACAAATCACTGCTTTCCAAAATACTGATTAGTTCAACTTCTTGAGATTAAAAGAAAATCATCTGGGGCCTACAGTATCTTTACTATTTGTCAAAGTCATTAATAAAAGTTAACACAGAATAGCAGACAAGGAGGACTAAGCTTACATGATTGTCTTTTGCTGTTTTTATCAGGTGCTGAACTGATGTTTTAAATTCATTTTCTGACACTGTCGACAATACTACTGAATAAAACAGAGCAGCCAGCTCCCGCATCTCTTCCTTATTGGTATTCATAAGGCTCTGAAAAGAGAATGAAAGATGCATATACAATTTAACCATGTTACAGTATGTATAAAAACTTCACTAGAATTTCAGCAATGAAAACTCTGATCCAATTGACCTAAAGGTTCGATTTAGGACACTTCTTAGGACAATATGTACTACATAATGACTAGTGACTAGTTACAGGGAACCAGGCAGAGGGCCTTCTTGGTAGTGGTGCCCGCCCTGTGGAATGCCCTCCCTTCAGATGTCAAGGAAATAAACAACTATCTGACTTTTAGAAGACATCTGAAGGCAGCCTTGTTTAGGGAAGTTTTTAATATCTGATGTTTTATTATATTTTTATATTTTGTTGGAAGCCGCCTAGATTGGTGGGGTATAAATAAACTATTATTATTATTATTATTATTATTATTATTATTATTATTATTACTACTATTATTTCTGAATGGCATTTTTTCCAGAGTTGTAACTGCAAAAACTCCCCCTGTGATAGGAATTTTATGGTCTTAGATATATGATAATGTCCATAACTGCACATACATAGATCAACACAGGAAGACCAACCTGGAACCATTTTGATTCCTAAACTGACCAAATCCTTTCTCTGCAACGTTAAACTGGAAAAGCCTCCCCATTGTCTCTTTCCTCACAAATCCTGTCTCAATGATATGTCTGTTTGAATAAGGTGTGAGCCTATGACCTGGCCCAGGAAATAAGTATTTTACCACTACAAAAGAATGGCCAGGCTCCCCAGGCAATCCAATCAAGTAACTTGCCAGACAGGAGATAAACTGTGACAGGAGAAAAACAACATAAATTTCTGTTATGTAGGTGGGATGTATCTGAGGGGTGGTCTTAGGATACACCCCTTCTGTGATGTATGCATAATGTTTCTGGGGGTGGTCTTGATCTAGAGAATGGGAATTTCAAAAGTCTTTATAAGGTCTTGCACACCATCTTTCGGGGTCCTCCTCCTCTCCTGCGTGTGAGGGAGTACCCTGTTGCAACAGATCAATAAAGATCAGGCTTACTAGCTGCTTTGCTTCTCAATATTCTCTGGTTGGCCTCTGGTTCTCCTACCAATAGGGAACCTATGTAAGGACTCTATATGGGCTCTTGGATACCCCATAAGGGAAAAGGGCATATATATTTTTTACAACACCCCTCCCAAAAAAAAGCAGAATCAAAGAACTGTGCACCAACATTACTTTTGCAGGTAAGTTGGCCAAACCTACAAAGTTGTTCCAATACCATAAAAGGTAAAGGTACCCCTGCCCGTACGGGCCAGTCTTGACAGACTCTGGGGTTGTGCGCCCATCTCACTTAAGAGGCCGGGGGCCAGCGCTGTCCAAAGACACTTCCGGGTCACGTGGCCAGCGTGACAAAGCTGCTCTGGCGAGCCAGCACCAGCGCAGCACACAGAAACGCCGTTTACCTTCCCGCCAGGTAAGCGGTCCCTATTTATCTACTTGCACCCGGGGGTGCTTTCGAACTGCTAGGTTGGCAGGCGCTGGGACCGAGCAACGGGAGCGCACCCCGCCGCGGGGATTCGAACCGCCGACCTTTCGATCAGCAAGCCCTAGGCGCTGAGGCTTTTACCCACAGCGCCACCCGCGTCCCTGTTCCAATACCATACCTGTGTTTAATTCACGTAGACCAAATACCAATTTCAAGGAGACTAAAGACAGCCTAGACAATATAAGTAATCAATACAGACCCAGTCCATAAGAAGCCTTTCTATTCCTGTTTTAATTGCTCTAGAACTGGACACTGTATCATTTTGCCTTTGAAAGTCATTTTTAAACGACTTCCTTAAAGAGAAATGTCACAATCCCCTTTTGTATTTCATCCTTACTTTGTTTGGAAGATTAATATTATCATATTTTCAAGGGCAATGCCATACCAATGTCCCAATGGCATACCTTTAAAATGAATCCCTAAGTGATTTACATAGAAGCCTCGCCATAAACAGATACGGGGCTAGCACAGGTGTGACACAGGTTGCATGCTGACCATCATCAACAAATCCAGGCCCCAAGCTTGGAAAACACGCATTCCATATTTTGGGAGTCATGCAAAAGAGTCTGTCTAACTGAAGCTAAATGCATCATTTCCTGAAAAAAAAATAATGCACAATTTTCATAGAATTTTAAGATACCTTTATCCAATCCATTTTGTCTACAAATCTTGCAGCTAGCTTTTCAGGATAGACGGAAACAACCTCCAACAGGCAGTACATCACTGGCAAACCTACGTAGTATTATAAAAACAAAAATAGAGAAGTGGCAAGTTGACATATTATTTAAAGTCAGTACAAATACATAGCAGCTTTTGGTATGCTCTCTCCTTTGCTGCCTACAAAGTAAACATGCCAAGAACATTGCAAACAAATATATAAAGCAACACCAAGGCTGATTTTCTTTTACAGATATACTTTGCATGTCAAAACATTTGGCAGAAATAAGAATATCGTTTAACACCGACACTCCTATCAAACAAAATTGCCATCACATTTGAAAACTTGTTAGGAACTGCTTAAAAAAATAATAATCTAGGATTCTTAGAATACTAAATTAAAAGTCGATTAGGCTGCAATCCTAACCTCACTGATCTGGGTTTAAGACCCAGTGAAGTCAAGAGGATTGGTGGCACTGAGACGCGGGTGGCGCTATGGTCTAAACCACTGAGCCTCTTGAGCTTGCCGATCAGAAGGTTGGCAGTTCGATTCCCCACGACGGGGTGAGCTCCCGTTGCTCAGTCCCAGCTCCTGCCAACCTAGCAGTTCGAAAGCACGCCAAAAGTGCAAGTAGATAAATAGGTACCACTCCGACGGGAAGGTAAATGGCGTTCCTATGCGCTGCTCTGGTTTCGGTGTTCCACTGCGCCAGAAGCAGCTTAGTCATGCTGGCCACATGACCCGGAAAAACTGTCTGTGGACAAATGCCGGCTCCCTCGGCCTGTAAAGTGAGATGAGTGCCGCAAACCCAGAATTGTTTGCGACTGGACTTAACTGTCAGGGGTCCTTTACCTTTACCTTTAGATACCTTTAGATATGGTTAGGACTGTGTTGCTGGTCTCCTAAAAGTCAAGCTGGCCAAATGTACCACATAATGACTAGCAGAAAGATGAGGTGTAGCATCTTGCATGCACAGCGCCAACAGGTGTTTCTAACATCAGGATGCTACAAGAACGCAAGAGTCATTCTGCCCAAGAGCAAAGCAATACCCATGGGCTGAAATTTCACATGCACTGCTGGCAAGTCACTTCTGACGCTCCTAAATGCTTCAGGCAGCTGAAGTGAAGAAAGCTGAAACCAAGCCAAATGCGACCATTCATGACATGCACCTCACCTAAGTCCAAGCCAAAGAGAGTGAAATGCAACCCAGAGACTAGACAGGATCGCCAGCCTCTGGAGTCCAGAAAGTGATGCCACAAGGTGTCAATCTGAGATACACTTTGAGATACAACAGCTTATTCCAAAACAGCGCAATAGCTGAAAACTGGAAAATGCTTATTGCCAAAGATGGTAATTTGGTAATGAATTTAAAAAATCTTGAATTGTGGAGAAAAGGAAAAAACAAAACCAATTGCATTTCCTTTTCCTCTCTTAAAACAAAGACAGAAATCTGAATGCAACTCTCTCAAAACCGCATGGCAGTTTGGGAAGCCACGCCACCAAAGACTCACCCAAACAGAACCAGAAAGCAGGAAAGATGGAGGAGTGAGCGGCACAGCTGCCGAAATCCCGCGATACTGGAAGTGATGCCACTTCCGGTGTCGCTGTGATGAGAGGAAGTGATGTAAGACAGGGAGTGGGGAAAGCCCAGGATTTAGGAGGAAATGGAAGACATGCCGAACAGGTGGAATTACAAAAGGGTCACACTCTGCTTACGTGGGTGGAAAGGCAAGATTAGAAAACAGTTGTTTGTTTTTTTAAAAAGGCATCGTACACAAGACGACTCATAAAAAACAGTAATCACCCCTCCTTGTTCTTCTCTAGGAATCAGATGTCTCCATATTCTCCCCAGCCCTAACACCTAGCTTAAGGTGACACATCCAGAAGACTTTTATGACACACCATGACCTGGATAGTTTAAAGCAAGGAAGGGAAATTAAGCTTACGGAATTCTACAATATGTGATGATGGCCAGAAACATAAGACGCATTTTTGAAGGCAGGGGGGAAGAAGCAGAATCAGGAGCATTAGCCGTGATACCTACATTGAACCTCCATGTACAACGGTGGTATACCTCTGAATACCAAACTGTGGAGACAGCCAACTGGGAAAGCCCACCGCTCTCATGCCCTGCTCATGAGTACCACAGGCTGGCAATGGAAACAGAATGCCAGAGCACATGAGCACTGTTCCTCCTGGTGGATCAAAACAATTCTTATGTCTTCAGGAAGTAAATTTATTCGATGCTGACCTAGTGACTGACAGCAGTCACTGCACTGACCTTTTCAGTGCTTGTTCATTAAGACTTTTTAATGAATTTGGTAACAACATGGACTTATTTAGGAGGGGGCCAATGGCAGGGGGTTTCAGACTTCGTAAACAAAATGGCCTGAGGTCCAGCTCCGAGGGCCTTCTGGTGGTTCCCTCACTGCGAGAAGTGAGGTGACAGGGAGCAAGGCAGAGGGCCTTCTCGGTAGTGGCGCCCGCCCTGTGGAATACCCTCCCATCAGATGTCAAGGAAATAAACAACTATCTGACTTGTAGAAAATATCTGAAGGCAGCCCTGTTTAGGGAAGTTTTTAATGTTTGATTCTATTTTTAATATTCTATTGGGAGTCGCCCAGAGTGGCTGGAGAAACCCAGTCAGATGGGCAGGGTATTATTATTATTATTATTATTATTATTATTATTAGATAGCTGTATTGTCTATATAAATTTGGTATAATTAGTGTTCTCTTGAAGCCCCAATCTGGAACAGCATTCTAATATGTATTACTGCAGTTTAGAGAATATGTTCTATATTACTAATTTTATTCCCCTTCCTGCATTCAGTGTACAGTGGTGCCTCGCAAGACGAAATTAATTCGTTCCGCGAGTTTTTTCGTCTTGCGAAGCACGGTTTCGGGAAAGTTTTGGGAAAGCTTCAAAAATCACCAAAGTCTTCAAAAACCTCAAAAAAGGCTACCACACCGCGTGCTATGAGTTGCTCCTCGAAGTCAAGTCGCAACTGTATTAACGGTGTTAAGAAAAAGGAAACAAACTTGCAAGACGTTTCTGTCTTGCGAAGCAAGCCCATGGGGAAAATCGTCTTGCGAAGCAGCTCAAAAAACAAAAAACCCTTTCGTCTAGCAAGTTTTTTGTCTTGCGAGGCATTCGTCTTGCGAGGTACCACTGTACTACAAAATGTGGACCTAGTATTACTGGATTAAAAGGGAGGTTGGGGGTTCCTTCTTCTTATTCTATACTGACATTTTGTACTCGTCTTTGTTTAAACCTTTAATAGATTAAACCAGAAAGGAAAAGGGGGAGTCTTTTCTTTCAAGCTCCGCAGAGCGCTGTCTCTCACCTCCAACACCAGACAGCAGTTGCTGAAGAAGGCTTATATAGATCTGCACAGGGTTGCTTTCACCTCCCTTTGAGGAAGAGGATGTTATGACGTGTCCAGACAGGAGGTTTCTAATGTAACGGCCAATAGCTGGAGCATGATCTTGCATTTCGGCTAAGCTCTGAGAGGTGGGCACCACACCAGAACTGTGAGCGAGACACATTCGGAGGTACAGGACGATCTAAGCAGCGGAAGAAAACAAGGGAAAGGGTTAGGGAAACAGGCCACTAGGCATAGGAAACAAACAATCACTATCGGTCAGAAGGCTTCATTCCCTGAACCATGATTCCCAATTTAGTAATACTAACTAGCATTCCTATAGAGCTTCAGAAAGTTCAAAGCACCCCAAATATATTGCCTCAGCTTTGTAAGGTAGGTCAGTATAGTTATCTCAGAGTTGCACATGGAGTCTGAGGCTACCAGTGTGGCTTGCGTGAGTTCAAATCTCATTTGAGATTCAAATGTTGACTTCCCAACTGTAATTAAGTCCCTTGGTTACTACACTATTCTAGCACTCAAATTCGAGCATTTCTTTCTTTCTTTCTTTTTTTAAAGAAACAAATAAACAAAGTCAATATGTGCATTTCTGCAAGAACTGCAACTGTGAAAAACAACATTTTGTATAGTGCCTTGGCACGAATTTCTGCAAAATTGGTTAAGCAGCCTGCAGCTCAAATGTTAGTCTAAGTATGATTCCAGAAGAGTGTTGTCCTCTTTGTTTCTATGGGAATGTGTTAAAATTAGCTGAACTATTCAGCTGAATCAATAGGACTTTAATTTGCTTAGCTTAGGCTGCATCATGCCCAGGGCAATGTTCATGTCAGAACTCTACACAACCACAAAGCTTGTCTTCTGAAGGATAAAGTTGGTGCCTCCCTCACCTGCTGGGCAACAGAGCTTCACAAAAGGAACGCCATCTCCCACCTAACAATCCAATGTGAGAAGCCAGAGGAGATCAACACAAATCTTAAATTTCAGGCAGGTTCATGTGGGAGAAGGGTATATGGTTAGAGCTATCAGAATGGACACAAAATTTTGTGAAAGTGATACACTTACCTCTCCAAAAGCAGCTGGGTTGAAAGGCATGACTGTAGTCCCTGTCATATATTTAGCAGGTGTTTTCATTCTGTGAGAAGCCTAAAGCGGGGGGGAACAAAATATCTAACAGATGCCCAGGCAGCTTGTGCTCAACAACCAAAACCTAATTCCTGCGCAATTAAACTGTATCGCCCAACAACATTTGAGACTTGCAGGGATGCAAACCAGAAGCATATACTTGACTAGTTTGTAATGAAGTGGATTCTAGCCTAATCACATATAGAGAAGACACCCAAAGCAGGACTTCCCCAGGAGACCTTAAGAAGAGAAGAGTTTGGATTTGATATCCCGCTTTATCACTACTCTAAGGAGTCTCAAAGCGCCTAACAATCTCCTTTCCCTTCCTCCCCCACAACAAACACTCTGTGAGGTGAGTGGGGCTGAGAGACTTCAGAGAAATGTGACTAGCTCAAGGTCACCCAGCAGCTGCATGTGGAGGAGCGGAGACGTGAACCCGGTTTACCAGATTACGAGTCCACCGCTCTTAACCACTACACCACACTGGCTCTTAAGAAATGAGGCGTGGCCCATATGGGGAAAAGGGCCGTGGATGCATGTATCTAAGGTAGGAAATTGTTCTTTTTAGAAAAGTATAGTGTCAGAACAGAGCTGGTATCCAAAAGGTAGCAGAGAAACACAATTATCTCGAAGCACCTTGTCCAGAAAGCACTAAGAAAGAGAAACAGCTGTCTTTCATTGGTATTTCTCAAGGTTCTGCCTAATATTTACTGGGCTAGTGTTTATTTATCACCCTTTCTTCTGAAAGGCTTGCCAGGTGTTCACCCATCGAGGCAGCTTATGGCTCCATGCTTCTTAAGCTTAAGCATCAGTCTTCACACCAGTCTCTGTTTTTTGTGTGTGGGCTGTGTATGTTGCATTATTATGACAAGATTCTGTACAGACATAACTAGTCAACAGGAGTTAAGTTGAAATTCTGTACCTTCTCTTGAATATACTGGACCATTTCTGGGAAGGAAGGCATCTGTTTACCACCGCTCTCCTTTTCATTCTTGCCAGGAATCGTTCTCAGCGCGCGTTGTGCCTCTCCATGTACCTCTTCCCGTCTTTCAAAAAATAAGGGGGAAAGCCAGTTTGTGCACACATACACACACATAGAGAGCGTGATGCAGAGCCTTTTCAGTGATGGCCACAAATCTGAGAAATTTTCCCACCAAAGAAAGAATGGACTGCCCTGTCAGTTCTCAACCTTTGGGTCCCCAGATGTTGTTGAACTATAGCTCCCATCACCCCTAGCTAGCAAGCTCAGGGATGATGGGAGTTGTAGTCCAACATCTGGGGACCCACAGGTTGAGAACCGCTGGGACCAATCAGTTTCAAATGCCCTTAATCGGAGATGAATTTATCAAGACGATTGTTTCCTTTTAGACTAGCTTTTATTGCCAATGGTTTTTATACACTGAACAGTATTTGAAAATGTTTGTTTACAAAGGTCTGTTTAATGGTCTTTTATATTTATAATCTGTTTCATTCTGCATTCTGTTATTGAAATTAGAGCATGCCTTAATACAACAGGGCAAATGCAAGACCAATTCTCTAAAACTGTACCAACTGCAAGTCTTTGGGTTAACCCCCTCATACCATCAAGCCACGATGTGCAGCTACAATAAAGCTGTCGCTGGCTGCCATCCTCCCTTCTTGCCTTTGCCTGCAGGATGAAATGACAGACATTTTTACAGACTGACCAGCCTCTTATGCCTATGTCAGGGAACTGCCATCAGCTCAGTGGCGAGAGGTGGAAAGGCAGCTGGATTACAGAGAGCCCCCAAAGTTCGTGGGAAGCAGCACTTCCTCAGCGGAGGAGGGAGGTCCCGCCTCTAGTGGGGAAGAGCTGCAGGGCTCAGAAGATGCAAGAAAGAGCCAGGACACCGTACTTGAGCAAAGCGGGGAGGAGGGAGGTCCCCCTTTACCCAAGCCTTCCCTGAGCAGTAGGTTTTTCGTGCAGAGAGGGGAGGCGTCGGGTGGGGGTCAAGAAACTACTCTGCTGGGGAAAGTTTAAGGACCACCCACTCCCAGATTCTGCTAGTGACTGAGGAAGACATGGAGTTTAGGCGTTCTGCACTGCAAATGCTTTGCACCAATAATAAAGCCTTTGGAAAGACCAGTGAGGGATCTGTGCGCTCTCAAGCAACCACCCGATAGGCATAACAGCCTACATCCCAACTGACAAACATTTTTACAGACTGACAGGCCTCTTATGCCTACATCCCAATTCTGAACTTTTGCTGTCCTAGCAAAAGACAGAGAAGGTGGAAAATAACAGGGAAGAAGAAGAAAATGCAGTCTGGAGAAGAGACCAGTAGAATCCCCTTTAAGCAGAGATGCTCTTGGTAAAAGTTCTAGGACAAAATGGTAGACTGGTAATGGCACCGTATCTTTAAAGGAGGAATGGATCAGTCTAAGAGACCGCTGCACGGATTACAGCAGCCACTATCAGAGTGTCAGCCAGTGAAGAGATCTGGAAACATGTAGAATTTTTGTGCCACTACAGTAGCCTTTTTACCCTGAAAGGGGGGGGGCTCCCCATTCTGTTTTAACTAAATCTTTGAAAGAAACAGACTTTCTTTTTTTTAAAAAGAAAGTAAGTAAGTACAATAAGAGACTAGTAGTTGAGGGTAAGTAGGAATAAGACTATAGAAAAATGCTGAAATGCAGGAACTATAAAACTGTCAGAAGAAGAGATAAAGCAATTTCTCTGTTCCAAGGTGAGACAGGGAAGGAAGTTGGCACATCAGCTGGCCAATCTATACAAACCTTTGTCATGTGATCATGCCCATCCTAGAAGGATGGGGAAAATTAACCCATTGTTTTCTGGATGCCTGCTGCATGCCAGCCACAGAAGACAATTACGCCCTTTAAGCGTACCACTTATTGTAACAGTAAATCTCTCCTTACAGATCTGACCTGCAGTGTAACATTAAACTTACGGGTCTCCTGCAGCTAAAAGAAGTAAGTATCTTGAAGGAATGTGATCTGAAGGGAACACCGTGCTGGCAAACTTTACAGCCACCTGACGTACTTGGACTTGAGGCTGAAAAGAAGAAATCATAGAATTGGAAGAGATCCCGAGGGTCATCTAGTCCAACCCACTTCAATGAAGGAATCTCAACACGAGGTTCTCCCCCATCTAATTTGAAACCATACTTCGCCCTGCTTAGCTTTGCAAATGTGCTAGCAGTTTTATCGCTGCACCTCTAGGAAGACTACACAAATCACATCCAAGTTGTTTAAAAATACAGGTGCTTATATGAAATAAACATGAAGCAGAAAGGCAGCTAAAGGGGGTGGAAAACAGTGGAGCAGAGGCACTCCAGATATTAAAAAATGCTACAAGCTGCCATTTCTTCAGCATCTTTCCCCTTTTTGCCCAGTAAAATGTTTATAGAGGCCAGAAAGCAAAATATCACCAAAAGTGTTGGTATTAAAAAGTGTAACACAGTACAACATCAGGTGTCTAGCATAAAGACAGATACCATATAGTCTTGCAATAATGTTCAACCTTTTGGATCGTATGCAGATGTTAATATTTTCTATCCAATTACAGTATTTGCAATACATGAACTCTCTTGTAGAACTACAACCATACTGAATTTTCTCATAGTAAAGGTAAAGGGACCCCTGACCATTAGGTCCAGTCGTGGCCGACTCTGGGGTTGCAGTGCTCATCTCGCTTTATTGGCCGAGGGAGCCGGCGTACAGCTTCCAGGTCATGTGGCCAGCATGACTAAGCCGCTTCTGGAGAACCAGAGCAGCGCACGGAAACGCTGTTTACCTTCCTGCCGGAGCGGTACCTATTTATCTACTTGCACTTTGACGTGCTTTCGAACTGCTAGGTTGGCAGGAGCTGGGACCAAGCAACAGGAGCTCACCCCGTCGCAGGGATTCGAACCGCTGACCTTCTGACCGGCAAGTCCTAGGCTCTGTGGTTTAACCCAGAGCGCCACCAGCGTCCCAATTAATTTTTTCATAGTCGTATCTAATTAATTCAGCTTGTACAAGAAGGTTCTATGGGTTTTTTAAAAATAAAATTTCTACTGTAATTGCTTATCGTTGTGTTCAATTTTGAAGCGACAGTGAATTAGTATTTTTAAGGTCCTGCTAAAGGTAAAGGTAAACAGGATCATTAACAGGCAAACTTTGTGACTACTCTCTGCAGTCTTCACCTGCTACAGAACTGGATTTGAATAATCTCTCACAACAGAAACATTGGATATTTCTAAACACACTACTTTCAAGTCTTGAGGTTCAGTCATATTGCATCATATTATATCTCTACCCCTTTGTTGACATACCTTAATTAGGTTTGAGGCCACAAGGGCCTCCATAAGAGTACGCGGGGCTCCTTCTAGATTTGTGTAGGCCCCAACCATCATGGACAAAGCCTCTTGAATAGCAAGCCTGGTGTCGGGATCTTCCTGAAATGAGATACATCCTTTAGCACCCAGCCTTACAAACAAGGAGCATTTTCTAGACAACCTATGTCCATGCATGCATGTTATTAAAGGAATTACTAACCTTAGAAAGAGCCTCAAAAAACTGTTGGACTAGTGCCAGGTCCTTGGTGAACAGCTGAGGTATTCGGCTGAAAGACAACATCAGCATTTTAAAAGATCAGTTTTTGAGACTGAAGTGAAATATATACCCTTGCAGTTAACATCTTGATAAAATAGTGATATGTTGCCTGGTATTCGTGTACTGCTTTAGAAGGTTCGAACCACTCCACATGCAATTATTCGCAGAAATTCTTCTCTTTTTTTAAACTTTATTCCAAAACCAAAAAAGAATTACAAACATCAAATTCAAAATCCATATTCGTTTTGCAACATAAGCCTATTACATAGTTGACTAGATTAAAATATACCTAATTGCTATAGACTTCCCTTTGCTATATATAAATGCAACGCAATTAGAAATATATTAGAATTTTTTATAAATTCCCCTATAACCCCCACTCCCCTTCACCCATGTGTGATCTCTTTTTTTTAACTTCTTCCATCTTGTTGTGTTGTTATAATTTAATAATTATTCAATTTATTCTTTTATTATTTCCTTGCTTAGCCCTGCACGTTTTACACATTATTTATTAATATTCCAGTTCTGGAACCCTATTTTTTCATGTATTCCTTCACTCCATCCCACTCTTTACTTATTCTCTGATTTGAATGGCCTCTTAAGATTGCCATCAATTTTGCCATTTCCACAAACTCAGAGAGTTTGCCATTCTAATAATGATGGCATCGCAGAAATTCTTACGAACTGCCCTGTATAGCAAAAATGGGAGCCTGACAAGGTGCATCTTATGGACACATACTGAAAAAGCAAGTCCCACTGTGTTCAGTATAACTTATTCCCTAGTAATTGTGTTTGCAATTGCACCCTAGGGCACTTACTGGCATAACGCATGTCAGAGGTAAGATTTCAACCAAAAATGCCTTGGTTCATACCTAAGTGTCTTAGCCACTAGGCAACACTAGCTGTTAAGCAGGGCAGGCAATTACTTTTATCAGTAATCAGAGGCTAGATCTAAATTGCCTGCCTCTACTGGTAAAAGTTTATTTTATCTAATCACCACCAGAGATCATTTTAAAAAATCAAGAAGTTATAGAAATAGGAATTATTATTTTTAATTCAAAAAACATTTATTCAAAAGTTACAATACATTTTCAACCAATATATTCCCTCCACAGACACCTCTGTGGTAACGGTGGCATTCAAATATCCTGTGCTTCTTCAATAAAAGAGAAAAGGGGAGACCAGAGCATGTCAAAGGTATCTTTTTTGGAGATGTTTCTGATTAGTCACCGTTGGCATCTCTTCAGATCGTACAAATCTTTCCCCTTTTTAGAGGTAAATTTGATAGGGCTTCTGAAGGTTAATTTCTATACACAGAACTTATGAAGCATGCCATCACAGGCTTTGCTCCAAGACTATCTACCCAATATAGTTTTAAGCTATGTCCAGAACAGATAGATTTTCAACAATGCCCTTTTTAAAGAAAGTTGATTATCCCAAGCATTCAATAACCACCCTCCACACCAATTTAACTGAACAGCTGAGGAGCAGTTAGAAGATCATTATCTATTCCACATTCTACACACCATTATGAATTGCCATGTGATGTGGTAAATTAACTTGCTTGCCCGCTGTCAGAGCAACATAAAGGTAAAGGTAAAGGTACCCCTGCCCGTACGGGCCAGTCTTGCCAGACTCTAGGGTTGTGCGCTCATCTCACTCTATAGGCCGGGAGCCAGCGCTGTCCGCAGACACTTCCGGGTCACGTGGCCAGCGTGACAAAGCTACGTCTGGCGAGCCAGAGCCGCACACGGAAACGCCGTTTACCTTCCCGCTAGTAAGCGGTCCCTATTTATCTACTTGCACCCGGGGGTGCTTTCGAACTGCTAGGTTGGCAGGCGCTGGGACCAAGCGACGGGAGCACACCCCGCCGTGGGGATTCGAACCGCCAACCTTTCCATCGGCAAGTCCTAGGCACTGAGGCTTTAACCCACAGCGCCACCTGCGTCCCTTCAGAGCAACATATCGCTTTGCAAAAATCAACCAACATCTTACATGTTTCAGTGCATTTCTGTTACCTGGAAAGTTTTCCAACAGCTGAATAGGCCATGGACAACAATTTGGGGTCCTTGAATTATTAAAAAAAAAAAAAGCCAGTCAGCATAAAAGTGAGAGAAACAATACACAATCAGGTTTTCATTGCCCTTTATCCCCAACTATTACACTTGCATTTTACATCATCCTTCCCACTTTTTCTCTAACAAGAAAAGTTTCAGAAACACAAAAGTTCCAAAAATACAATAATCATCTACATCATCATTTTGAGTGAAGGAACAGATGGGAGCTGTGTTCTTCACGCAGAGATGAAAAATCACAACATATGGCAATGAAACGACTTCTAGTTCCTTTAATTTTATTTGTCAAGAAGGAAAAAGGAGCCTTGGCAAGTGGAAAATTGCAGATACAATAAGGCGCCATGACAAGAGCTTGAAACAGCACGTAGGTTTGGGCAGTGCAATCCAGGAATCACTTGTATAATTTGGACTTACATATGATAGAAGAAACACTATTCAAATGATCCAAGGCAGCCCTGTTTAGGGAAGTTTTTAATGTTTGATGCTTTATCGCTTTATTATTATTATTATTACTATTATTATTATTATTATTATTATTATTATGGGAGCCACCCAGAGTGACTGGGGAAACCCAGCCAGATGGGCAGGCTATAAATACATTATTATTATTATTATTATTATTATTATTATTATTATTATTACTACTACTACTACTACTACTACTTCTACTGCGCTCACATGTGGATCTCTGGCAGTCTCAGAGATGGGAGCATCATACCCATGAAACAGGGCAGGTAGTTTATCCTATTATTCCCTAACCGTGCATGAGAAGATTGGGTAGAGTACTTGAACACCCCCAGGCATGCAACACAGGCTACAGATGGGTGGCTTAGAGATTCTGCATCTGCTCTGCCCAGCTGTCAAAACCTCCTGGACAGGAAATGTTACAGATAGGTAGCCGTGTTGGTCTGCCATAGTCAAAACAAAAAAAATTCCTTCCAGTAGCACCTTAAAGACCAACTAAGTTAGTTCTTGGTATGAGCTTTCGTGTGCATGCACACGAAACCAGTAGGAGAACACTTCAATCTCCCAGGACATTCTATACAAGATCTCAAAGTAGCTGTTTTACTACAAAGGAATTTCAGAAATAGACTGGAAAGAGAAGCTGCTGAATTGCAACTCATTACCAAACTTAAAACCATGGAGAGACCTGGTCTGAACAAAGACATTGGATTCTTATCTCATTATACATGACAAAGCCATTTTTCACCTTCTCACCCCTTGCTTTTTCCTGTAAGACCTATTGCCGTCGTTAAGAGTCGTCAACAGGCTCATCTCAGCTATCTGCCAATCACCCATTCCCACCACCCTTCTGAGTAATACCCCTCCCCACCTTCTCACTATATAGAAGGATCTGGCAACTTCTGTTTCAGTGTATCTGAAGAAGTGTGCATGCACACGAAAGCTCATACCAAGAACTAACTTAGTTGGTCTTTAAGGTGCTACTGGAAGGAATTTTTTTTGTTTGGACAGGAAATGACTTCTAAGTACCCCTTGGGTTTGCTGGAGTTACACACATCTGTGCTGCTGCAAGGGAGGAGGAGGGTCAGGCCACCAGAGCTGAACACACCCTGTGGAATTGTGGCCGCAGGTATTAAACACGGGCTATTTACATTAGTGTAAACCATGTTTATTTATTTTTTTGGTGAAACTTGAGTGTGCCAAACCATACTCAGGAATGCAGACAGAGACACCCTTGTCGGTCCATTTGTAAAATCCAGAACAGAACCCCAAACCTGCTTTCACTGGGAAACCCAGGTGGTGGCAGCCAAAAGAAATGGAGCCAAAATGGAAAGAAACAATTAAAAATCAATAGCCCAATGAGGACAGAGTATGCTCAATAGCCATAGAAAGGTGAATGCGCAAAAAACAGAAATGGGGAAGGGAACCAAATGCTCTGTTTTGAGAATGCATGGCTGGAACCCCAAACATGAACATTCTTATTAGGGAGAACACACTGAATTGTTGCACTGCAGGCTCCCCTTCATTCTCTTTCTTGGTTCTAGCTATAGCAAATATGAAGTGACTCTCCAGATACGAAAAAGACGGGCATGTTGACGGATTCCGCGACTGAAGTCCCTCTTTGGAAATATCCTTTGAACTCACCTCTTTATACTCATTAATCAGTTTTGTCAATCCATTCAGGAGCATCGGGCCCAGTGGCTTTATCTTACCATCCGGGCAACTGAAATGCAACACATGGAAGATTAAAGGTTTTTATGTATTTTTAAATAAGACATCCTTATAACCACCCTTGATATAGAACAGGGATGGCCAACTTCCAAGAGACTGCGATCTACTCACACAATTAAAAACTGGCAGTAACCTACCTCTTCTTTTGGGGTTCAGGTCAAAGTTGTCAAGGTTTTTTTTAAGAATACTTTATTTCTCGCTCTATAAGACGCACTTTTTCCCCTCCTAAAAAGTAAGGGGAAATGTGTGTGCGTCTTATGGAGCGAGTGCAGGCTGCGCAGCTATCGCTGAAGCCAGAACAGTAAGAGGGATCGCTGCTTTCACTGCGCAGAGAGGGAGAGGGTTTTTTTCTTGTTCTCCTCCTCTAAAACTAGGTGCGTCTTATGGTCGGGTGCGTCTTATAGGGTGAAAAATATTGTAACTTCCCAAGGGGGAGTTTCAAGTCAAAGTTGTTGAGTTTCTAGAGGGCGGGGCAAGGGGGCGGGGCTGGATGGGGAAGCCAGCAATTGAAAGCCATCTACCAAAACCTCCCAGGGATCGACCCATAGATCACGATCAACCTGTTGGACATCCCTGATATAGAACAAGATCTTGTGCCACGCACTCCCAAATGAAAGCTTGACTGGCCCCAGTCACTGCTCACTTTTCGGTAGCCAGTGAAAACCTAACTCTCCAAGGAAGCATTTAGGTGATAACACTGTACTACTGTGGCAGTTTTTAGGTATCCTTCTGCCAATGTCATGTGTTTTTGTTATTTTAATATTCTACATTGCTTTGCTGTGTTTTGGTTTTCAGGTTGTAACCAACTAAACTTTACTCTCCACCTTAACATAGTTTTAATCCAAAGCGCAGCGTATGAAATATAATATATTAAAATAATAGTAATAAATCTCTCCTGGTGGCATAGTGCCGTATTGTTGCTCAAGAGGACAAAACCCTCAGAAACATAAATCTTCAGGCTTATCTCTATATTCCATTTCCCATTAATATGTTTCTGCATATGGCGGCATAACCAATATTAAAGTACTTACATTACACAAATATGATGCACAAATTGAAGAGATAGGGTTCTCAGTTTTGCATTGGTATTTGCACCAAAAAGTCCATCGTAGACCACCTAACAGAACAAAATAGCTCATTAGAAACAGTCGATATTATTTCCAGTTATTTTCTGAACCTATCTGTCCTATTTATGAAAGGAGGCATAATTAGGAACTGAATGTTTATGGAGCGACATTTAAAAAATCCTCTCAAAGTTTTCTGTGTCTCACTGAAGATCATATTCTATCAAATTATTTATTATTTTTTAAAAAACCCAGTAGTAGTTCATGAAAAACAGTGTCCAAGATAAATTGCTCTTAAGAAAGGTGTCCTGTATGCTACGCTTCACTGCACCCAGTCTTGTTTAGCATAGAAGTGCTCTCAGATCCAGTTCCCAAAAAGCTTTATTGTACAGCATTAGTCCAAGTATCACATTCCTTGAGCTAGTGTGGTATAGTTCTTTGAGGGCTGGACTAGGACCTGGGAGACCAGGGTTCAGATCCAGTGGCGTAGCGTGGGTTGTCAGCACCCGGGGCAAGGCAAGTAATTTGCGCCCCCTAACCCATGGATTTGCGCCCCCTAACCTGTGGATTTGCCCTAACCCCAGATGTTGCGCCCGGTGCGGCCGGCCCCCCCTGCACCCCCATGCTACGCCACTGTTCAGATCCCCATTCAGCCCCAAAGCTCAATGGGTGGCAACCTTAGGCCACTCAATGTCTCCCAGCCTAACCTCTCTCACGTGGCTGTTGTGTGGATGAAATGGAGAGGGGAAGAATCATGCATGCTATCTTGGAGGAAAGGTGGAATATAAATGTATTAATAAATGAAATAAGAACAAAACAAAACAATCCAGTAATCGCCACCACCCATGATGTAAAGCCAGAGTGTTATGGCCTGGATTCAAAGAGGCTGAGAATTATGAGGTGAAGACATTACCTGAATATTTGCAGGAAACGTTTCTGCAGCTTGCCTGGAGCGCAAAAGATGAGGGACTATCTTTAATTTTACCCGTGTGCTGACTGGATCACGTTTCAATTCTGGTTTCAGAACAGCTCCCTGTTATGAACAAATATGGGGTTAAGGGTGACTTCAGGAAAGGCATAAAGATAAGGATCGGCAAGGCAATCCTAAGCATGTTTACTCAAAAGTAATTCCCACTGTAGCACTTCATTTGTAGTAAGCATGCTTAGCAAGGCAGCAAAATCCTTCCATGAATTTCTATTCACAATAGTTTTAAGCGATTGTAAATCTCCATACTAGAGGCTGGTGTGAAAAGTTCCACTCATTTACTTATTAATCTTGTGAACACACCAGCAGCCATGACTTAGGCCCAGAGAAGAGCACAAGAAGTGTGTGAAAGTAACAGCTCTTCCCCAGAGTCACTCTGAACTTGGCACTTCCATTATGGCCAACAGCTGCCGCTACTTATTAATTTGTCAAATTCTCTTTCAAAGCCATTTAAATTAATAGCGGCCCCAAATTCCATAAAATCAATTGTGCCTTGTGTGAAGACATAATTTCTATTTCTTGTGTACTGTGTATCAAATCCTTTTAAACTGCAAAATGATCTCATGAGTTCTGACCTTTCCTTAATACTCATGGGGACGTGACAAATTCTTATCTTTCTTTTTTTTTAAAGGATTAACTTTCTTCTTGCGGCAACGGTTGCAGCCTACATAGCGCTTTATTTGCATCTGGTTCTTTGCACATATGCAAACTGCCATTCAAAGACGTGACGTTCTTAATATGGAGCAGCAATGTCTTTAATGGCTTGCTTTTTGTATCTAGATGGAAATGTCTAGTTCACAGGAATCAAAAAGGAACATGGAGCTAGGAAAGCAAGTCTTACCTCCTTGGTTTTTAGTGGTATGTCCCCAAGGTACACTTTATACATCCTGTTGATGATGGCTGGATTGTTCCAGTCAATCAAACTAAAGAATGTTAAAAAAGGATAAATATTTGGTAAGGTTGAAGAATTAATGATGATTACACAACATTTACTTTTCATTCCTACTTCCTCCATTCCTCCAGAAGCAGACTTAAATATCACACTTGCTGAGTCTAAAACTGCTGTGAGCTCCCTTTCCTACATCAAATGAGTTCTAAAGGAGCCCTGACAACTGGCTTAGTGAGGTAGGCAAAGCCATTTTTTATTTATTTAGATAGGCCTTTGGCTTACAAGCTGACATGTAAATGTGTAGCAACTGGCTCTTTTTTTTAGTGATGTCTTAAATGCCTTCTTTTCAACACTTCATTTGATTTTAATTTAATTATTATTGCTTTTAGCTGCCTTGAGCAACCTTAAGTGGAAATGATAGATACAAGTTTAACAAGTAACAATATATAGAAGAAACTCTGAATAGTCATACGCCTGTAATTTGTCCAGCCTTATTTTCTTCAGAAAGTTTAAAACTACCCAGCTAAAAAAAAAGGGGGGGGGGTCCTACAATACGACAGCATCAAAAACTTAGTAAATGCCATTTGTCAATAAATGCCATGGTAATAAGCACAATTTTGCAATCGGCGAAAACAAGGATGCCTAATATTTAAGCTTCAGTTCCTATTTTTAAAAGAAAAATTCCAAGCCATTACCTTTGCTTGCTTTTGAGTTCAAGGTCTGCTGCAGTGGCTACACTGTGCCTTGTGTCACTGGAGGCTATGACCAGGTGTATGATAGCTTCAAGTTCAGGCACCTGCTCAGCTTCGATGAACTTCACAATGCCCAGTTTACACTGCCCGGCAATGCAAAGAGAGGGAAAGGAGGGAAATCCGTTAGTCTAATCGGGAACATGATTGTCAAATTGCAATAACAAGGACTGAGATTCTTTTATGTGTTTAATTGCAGGATGGTAGAGCCAGATAAGGGTTGATGGTCAGTTCATCATAGGCTATGCTATGCAAGTGTTAATAGGGTAAACCATAAAATACCCCCAGTGACAGTAAAGTACTATTATTAGCACTGGCAAGGTGGTCTGGGCTAGATTAGCAGCTACCAGATAAGCAGGAAGGCTTTCTGAACATTCTCTCTCATAATAAGGTTTAAAATAAAAATGGTAAAGGACCCCTGGACAGTTAAGTCCAGTCAAAGACTACTATGGGGTGCATCGCTCATCTCGCTTTCAGGCCAAGGGAGCCGCCGTTTGTCCACAGACAGCTTTCTGGGTCATGGCTAAACCACTTCTGGCACAACGGGACACTGTGACGGAAACCAGAGTGCACAGAAACACCGTTTACCTTCCCGCCACAGCTGTACCTATTTATCTACTTGCACTGGCATGCTTTCAAACTGCTAGGTTGGCAGGAGCTGGGACAGAGCAACGGGAGCTCATCCCATCGCACGGATTCAAACTGCAGACCTTCTGATTGGCAAGCCCAAGAGGCTTGGTGGTTTAGACCACAGCGCCACCCGCATGCGTGCACTATCGTTTCTTTGTCAGTCCGATATTTTGGGTTGTACCAAACTAAGCCAGTGAAATTAATGGGCCTGAGAGTTAGTTGTGTTCATCCATTTTAATAGGTCTGTGCTAGGTAGAGATAACATTGGAGACAACCTTTTGTATTTTATATGGTCACCTTTGTAACGAGATCACAAGTGAGCCAGGCTTCAAATGGCTTCAAATTCCCCCTACCGTTAGATGCGAAGCCAGGTTCGGGGGAAGAGAATGCAATCAAGGATCAGGCTCCCAAGTTTGCATGCATGCATTTGGCGATATCTGCACCCATCTCGGACACAGCCTTGCACTGCGACGCATTTGCTTTACCTGTTCCAGCTGTTCCGGCGTCCATGGGCTGTCCCCAATTACCCGCTTGGCCGCGTAAAAGCTCATTCCTGGAGGAGGCTGAGGGATCCCAGAACCTCCGGAACCACTTGATGAAGAAGAGCCCTGTCCAGCTGGGACACTTTGGCGACTCTGGGATTCATTCAACACGTATCTAGAGGAAGAAGGAAAACACATGAGGACGTTATTCGGGGAATTCGAATAACGAATTATTCGGGGAATTCGGAAACACATGAGGAAAACACATGAGGACGTTATTCGGGGAATTCGAATAACGTTATTCGGGGAATTCGAATAAGGTCAGGGCTGGTGAGCTAGTGAACAGGCACAGGCAGTGCCAGTAACAAGTTGCTCAGATGGATAAACTTCGCCAGAGTAGGCAACTTCAGAAGACACAACTATTTGTGTCACATGACCACCGAACTGCAATCCCCTCTTTGGTCACCTGCAGTGGTGGCACTGCAGCACAGCAGGGGACAGGCCAGCAGACCCGTCCTCCAGCAAACTCCAAGGAACTTATTCCATGTTCCTTTGGGAAGAAAGTATCACTTAAACACATCTTGAGAGCCTACTTTTTTGTCTAATGAATGAAAATGCAAACAAGGAAAGAGACTTACATATACCAAGTGTTACCATAAAACCCTACTACAAAGTAATTAAACAGCTCAGAAACAAGTGCAATTTTGACAAAAATACAACAATTCTTCCAAAATATTAATATCATTGCTATAAATAAACTTAAAAGTTATCAAGCATCGGTTTTATTTCAAAGAAGTGAAGTTTTAGAGAGCATTCATTGTTGAGAACAGTAGTTAATCAACAAGAAACTGGAAAACTTGTTATGCAATAGTCTCTTCAACTACTATATAGTCTTTAACCATACATTGTGAAGGAAAGCATTTTAAATATGAGTGTTTTCAAACCCCAGCCCATTTTGTGATTTTTGGCAATACTGGCCAGACACTTGTATGAGAACAGAAACAGCAATGGCTGAACTGCAACATTACTTACCCATAAGGCATAAGGAGGACATCTAACATAAAATCCAAGAGCAGTTGCACAGTCTTTGGTTTCTCGGCAAGATTAAACGGAGAAGCTGCTTTCAGAGGTTCAACAGGGTATTTCATGTGAAAAAGGGTTGGTATTAGAAGGTGCATTAGGCTGAAAAACAATTATATTTACTGCCACTGTGAAACATGCCTTCATGATCTATTAGTTTTCACTTGATACCTATCACAACGAACACTGAGAGTGAAAGCAAATTAAAAAAACATTCTTAGTTTGGTTTATGTGCATTTTCTAAATCTAGAATCAGGAGCTTCAAGCAATATAGTCCACATAAAAATTACGCTTCTCTTTCTACAGAACAACTAATCTCAATGGAACTGCATTTTCAAAACTCCACTGAAATTAACTCAATCCAATGGCCATTTGTAAGTCAAAAGATCATAACCAAGATTATAATTAATCCATATACGTAGAAATGTTACTTAACAAATGGAGCAATATCAGTTCTAATGTCCACATTTCCAGAAGTGCCTATTATGCAGAAGTTGAGTATGCCTCTTGAAAACAACAACAACCACAAAAATTCCCTGTCTGAGAAAAAGAAGGAGATAATTCTAGACTAAACTCTGAATCAAACATCAAAGTTGTGCTACTGGGAGACAGCATATTGAGTCCCACTAGTTCAATAGGTCTTCCCCGCTCCCTCAAGTTCTCCACAAAACAGTTCTGTGGGGGTTGGGCGAACAGCATATGGGGACAGGAGAGGGGAGACCTTTCCATTAGACAAGCAGAAACGACGGAATGATCTCCATAGTGCTATTCTGATTTCTACCCTTAGCCTTCCTCCTATTGGTTTTCTGCACACAAGAGATATTTCCACATTGGGAAACAACCAAACCATGCAACACCCTCTCCTCCAATATCTAATCTTGAAGAGGAAGTGCCCCCTAAAGGTTGTAACGCAAGATTTTTCTCAACATGTAATTGCAGTCTAAAATGCAGTCAGACCCATTAAAGGACATCAAATATTTTTTTTGGGGGGGAGAGAATTAAAATTAAGACAATACAAAAGAAGTTGTATGCTTAGAATATCATACCTGTCTTGTTGGGGTTGAGGTTTTCCTTCCATTGCAGTAAGGAGTGTGGGAGCAAGCTCACATTGCTTTTCCACAGGCAAACGAGGGTAACCCATCTTAACGTATATTATGGTGAAATTCTGCAAAAGTACAAGATAAATCTACATAGAACCACTTCAAAGCAACAGCGACATGCAATGTCTCCACAAAGGTTTAAGAAATCTGTATAGAATAATCCTCTTATTGGCAAATTGCAATCCCCATAAAGTTGTACCTTGGTTCTCGGACGTAATCCATTCTGCAATTCCGTTCGACTTCCAAAAACTTTCGAAAACCAAGGCGCAGCTTCCAATTGGCTGCAGGAGCTTCCTGCACTCAATTGGAAGCCGCGGAAGCTGCATCGGGATGTTCGGGTTCCAAAGAACGTTTGAAAACCGGGACACTTACTTCCGGGTTTTTGGCATTCGGGAGCCAAAACATACAAGTACCCAGACGTTTGAGAACCAAGGTACGGCTGTACTTGCTGGTCAACCAGTCTAGTTCATCAGAAGTACTATAACCTCATTCGCCTTGAGCAAGAGTGATGTGCTCTTAATGGGGCTGATTGCAGAAACCCATTTCCTAACAGATGTAGGTTGCTAGGAGCACTTTACATCAACACTCCAGGCAAAATTCAAGGCTGTAGCTTTGACTGCTAAAGCCCTTAATGGAAAGTGCCCATTAAAACCTAAGAGATTGCGTCCACCTCTGTGTCCTGCCACAATCAACTAGAAAAAGCCCTCCAAACTATCTTTGAGCTTTTACACAGACATCTGGGTGGCTGTGTAACCAACGTCAATCAACTACTGCACTGACTTGCTAAAGTTTCAGCCTCACCCTGAAATTTGTTTTTTTTAAAATCTGAGAATAATTTTGGCAATGGAAGAGGACAGGCAGTCAAAAGAAACGAATACAGGCAATCATCAGCACTCAAGATTCTGACAAAAAATCCAGGAAGTCTATTTTCTATTTATCTATTTATCTGTCTTTAGTATTTAATGTTTAAAAGTTTGGGTTATCAAGCTCTTAACTAGATGTTTGTATATCCTCTATGTCAACGGGACAGGCTGTAGCTCAGGGATGGAGCACGTGCTCTGAATGCAGAACGCCCCAAATTCAATCCCTGGCATCTCTAGGTAGGGCTGGAAAACACTCCCAACTGAATCCCTGAGAGAACCACAGGTAGTCAGAATAGACAAGACTGGGCAAGACCGACCAGTGGCTTCTTAACAAGTCTGACCTTTGAATGCTAAAGGTCATGCATGAGAATCTACTGATGTTACTAATTCAATGCATGTCTCCTCCATCCATTTTCAGTGACATAACTATTTGAGTTTTTGAAAAGACAGAATAGTTAAGACAACTGGATGAAGTTTCTAACTATAATAAGCCCTCATATTTCATCAGCCGACAACTTTTGAAAGAAGTCACTTACTGTAACAAAGGACACTGCGGAAGGATCCTGGTACTGGACCAGCAAAGTCTCCACCGGCAGCTGGATTTTGGGGCGACTTTTGATACGTTTGTTCAGGTGAACAAGCAATTCCATAACCTGAAAGAGAGAAAATAATCATCTTGGATCTGACCGATTTGGGTTCTGCAATTGTCAAAGTCCAAGCTATAATGAGCTAATAATTTCTAGAATACCAAAGGAAAGTGAATGCAATACCCATATGGTATCTCATGTAACCATTTTTTAAAGGAATGAGTCCAATGAGTTATTATTTTTGCCCGAATGCACTACTGAGTCAGAGAGACAATCTGAACCCGAACCCCAAAAAATGAACCAAACATTTATATTTTTTTGACCCAGAACACATCCCTGAATAATATTCAGGCTGCCAGCCCAAAATAAAAGCTTGACTTTAAAAACAAATCTGATGATACACAAGCAGTCTCCAAACAGAATAAATTGCATGCATCTAAAACTAACATATGGGAGGGTTTTTAATCATTGTCTTTGCATGTGCTTCTGTGCCCAGGGAGTCTATACTTACCTTCTTACGTACTCCTTCCTGTGTACTGGAAAGCTTCAGAAGAACAGGTGGTAGGAATTTGGATATAATATTCTGCAACTGCTCATCCGTTTCTGCATGGCCAAGCCGTAAAAAGACACGCTCAAGCTGATCTATGAAAAAGAAAGGGGGAAGACGAATTAAAAACTAGCAAAATCTATGACAAACAGCAAAACAGACACAACCCAATATTACTTTATTCACCACTAAAATAAAATGGACCAACTGCATTATAGTACTGTTTAATCAAAGCTCTTTGGTTGCCAAGAATGGATTTATTTCATTATCCCTGTGCAATAATGCCAGCAAAATATCTCATACAAACTGGGGGCCGATATCAGTAACCAGTGTTTCCACTGCACAGACAATTTTACAGCTCACACTACCACATAAGAATATTTGTGTCAGCAACAAGGTCACCAATGGCCATTTTGATTTATTTGATTTACTTTGTAGCCAGCCAGATCTCAATAAATCAGTGTGGAATACACACACACACACACACACACACACACACAACCTCCACCTACATGCATATAAGTCTAGCCATACCTAACAGTAGATACCAAAAACTCCAACGAAGAAAAGCATATTTCACTGTTTCCAAAAGACAGGCTTTTGGAATGGCTCATTTACAGGTGGGTCAGGCATCTAGAACGCTAGCTTCCTAGAAAATATTGTTAAACTGCTTTTACATCATATGCTAGCTTGCATTTTTTGCCCAAATGACGGCCTATTCCAACAATTGCAATAAGAGTTTTGATGGATGTCAATGAACTAAAGCACTTGTTGATTAACAATTTTAATCAGCTAGGCCATAAATTAATGACATACTTCTTTATTTACTGGTGTACTGATCATCCAATACAATACAAAAAAGGTAGCATTTTTATTAAAGTTTAAGTTATCTCTGAAGGCCTTTATGATTTAATTGGTTAACAGGTGATTCCTCAATTAATCACTGTCATACTTATTTCTTATCACATTCCTTATCATCATACTGCTTTGCAGTACACTATTTGTTTCTCTGCGACAGTGAAGTGAAAATTACTCTCATCTAAGTTTTTCAGTTCTACAAATAGGTATATAAGAGAAGTATGGTTCAAGACAAGAAGTGAAATATTATTATCTACACCCCTTGCTCTTCAAACGTTAAGCCATCCAAATAATATTTCCTATCTTCTTATAGATTTTTTCCTATACTATTGCACACAGTAATATGTAGTCGTACATATATTCCTTACATTAAGGCATTTCTACATTTTTCTGGTCCTGTGTGCTATGTTACACTGAACACAATGCTAGCACCTCCATCAACTTCTTTTTTCAGGTTCTATATGTAAGTTGCTAATCACGGGTTGTCATAAAATGGCAAAACAAATAATCCAAACACAGCAAATGTGATTTTAGGGGTCTGGAGAAACAAGACAAGGACCAGTCTGGAAAAAAGGGGAATCCATATTCCATATCCCTTGAGCGGATTATATTCATGTAAAAATTTGGAAGAAATCCCAAATAAGAAATCCTACTTTATTAGAATGTAGCACCTGTTTCACACGATGGCTTTTGGCTCCTTGAACTTCTGTGACTTCCCCTCCTTCAATACTTTAAAATGAATGCCCTGTAGCAGGCTAGCCATACAATACTAGCACAGGTTCAGCTTTTGACAATGAAACCGAAAACTGATACACACAGCACTTTAAAAAAAACACCAGAGTGAAATAAGTACCCTATTGATTTTCTAAAACTGTAACTTCCTCTTTTCAGATATGAACCCCAATTTCAAACTTAATCTTTTTTCATGGTAGCTTGTTCCATTTAGTAAACATGTGCGCAGATGTCTTGCTTGTATCACTTTCTCAAAGTCCAGGTAAGAAAGGGGTACCCCAACAGTGAAAGTAATGGCATATAAATGCCCCTTAGATAAGATTTTCATAGTACCACATCCAGATACTTTCACTACATCATGTTGATACAGTGACTACGGAATGGAGGCAGCCGTGTGTCAGCGGCTTGCCAAGACAGATGCATTTCAGGGTAAGTCTAGTCAGCACAATATTATCTGTGGAATGTGGCCACAAAGAACAGGCCTTTTACACAACAGAATTTTCAACTACAGGGCTTGCAACAGTAATGTTCTGCGAGGTGGTTTGGGATAATGACTTGCATCCAATTTCAAAGTGAGGACATCAATTTGCAAGGGCACTGCAAACTTTAAACACTGTAATCATAGTTGAGAATCCAGCTTTTAAAGGCAGCATAATTTAAAACGTTTCAAAGGAGTAAGGTGTACTGATTTCTCCCCAAAACCTTGTTAGAAGAGCACGTTTTCCAGGAAGAAAGAGGTGAATTTAGTAATCCTTGTTTGTATTATTATTATTATTATCATCATCATCATTTCTACCCATCTTCTATGTTTATAAACATAATAAAATAAAAACATGGTAAAATAAAAACTTGTTTTACCATGAAAGGTGGAGGGAGGGGTGGAGGACGATGGGCATCAATAGCGAATGAACTTTCCTGATACAAATGGACCTCCAAAGGTTGTTTTAGTACAACACAATATTTCTGTGCTCCTGGACCAATGTGAGAAGCCCCAGGACACATGATTTGACCCCATGGGGTAGCTCCTTCCTACAACAGTGTTGTACAATTTTCCAGAAGCAGCTACACAGGCACAGGAAGGCACTGAAGGATGCTCTATTTACATATGCCTCTTCATGCTACCCAGGCAGCACAGGAACATGAGAACACAAGAAGAGCCTGCTGAATCAGACCAAAGGCCCATCTATTCCAAACTCCAGTTCTCACAATGGCCAACCTGTTACCAACTAGAAGACCACAAGCAAGACCTGAGCACAACAGCACCCCCTCCTCACCTGCAGTTTCCGGCAACTAGTACTCAGGTAGTAAGATAAAGGTAAGTGGACCCATGGACGGTTAAGTCCAGTCAAAGGCGACTATGGGGTTGTGGCGCTCATCTTGCTTTCAGGTCAAGGGAGCTGGTGTTTGTCCACGGACAGCTTTCCAGGTCATGTGGCCAGCATGACTAAACCGCTTCTGGTGCAACGGACACCGTGACAAGTGCCAGAGCACACGGAAATGCCGTTTACCTTCCAGCTACAGCGGTACCTATTTATCTACTTGCACTGGTGTGCTTTCAAACTGCTAGGTTGGCAGGAGTTGGGACAGAGCAACGGGAACTCACTCCATTGTGCAGATTCGAATCGGCTGACCTTCCTGATTGGCAAGTTCAAGAGGCTCAGTGGTTTAGACCGCAGCGCCACCCAGTATACTCAACTCAGGGCGTATACTGCCTCCAACCATGGAAGCAAAGTACACCCATTCGGCACTTGAGATGTGTGTTTTCAGGACCCACCCTATACTTGTGAATGCAATATGTTTTAACTGTTTTAAATTGCTATAAACTGCCTTAAGACCTGCTGGTGAAGGGCAGGAAATAAATGTAATCACAGTAATAATAGTAACCACTGATAGCCTTAGGAAGAAATTGTGCTGCAAACCTTCCTGAACTGCAGACTTAACAGTGATAATTAAATTACAGGGCACACTAGGAAAGAGAAGTATTGCTGGTATTTATTTATTTTATTATCATTTATAAACTGCTTAATATTTCAACAGCTTAACAGTCAGCACTATTTCATGAAGGAATTTTTAAAATTAATAAAAATCATGAGGTGGCGTGTCAAAAGATGTTGTGTCACCTTTCATCAGAGATGTCAAGAGTACTGACCAAATGGTGCCAGTGACGCACACTTTCCAAATCTCGCATGCGATAGGTGCACGCCACTCGAGTGCTGGCACGATTCCTCATTTCAAACTTAGCATCATCATGGACTTTCACAAAACAATTGCAACAATCGTGCAGCATCTGTTGTTTTTGAAACCTCTGTCATGGATTCAAAGGGACTACAAGTCTAAGCACACTCACCAGAATGTACGGTAATTTCTACAGAACTTAGTAGGTCTCACTTCCCAGTAAAGTTGCTTCTGAATGCATTGCATGTGGCATTAAGCAATGCATCCCCTCTTGGACTAAGCCAAACCAAAACTAAGTGTGAACAGGCAAGCAGGCAGGTATTCATAAATAAAACTGCTGCCACTTCACTCCCGTCCCAGTCCTGCTACTGCTGCCTTACCCAGAAATAAGACAAGGAGGTTTAGGTATGTGCGAACCCACACACATAGTTTGTCTCCCCGCAAACAAACCATGAGTACAGTATTAGTCAACAACAAACCTTAGCTGCAACTTGCAGCTTGTTTGAAGTGAGGCAAACCATGGGTCCAATTTCACTTATCACACCGAGCAAAATTATGGCTTAGCTTCCGGTTGGAGAAAGACCCGGAGAGGAGCAAAATGGTTCAGATTTTTGTTCCGTGTACCCACAGTGTTTCTCTTTCACACTTAGCCATGGTTTGGCTTAATGTAACATGCTAAGTGGACCTGTTAAGTTAGGTGACAACCAGGCCACAGATGGGAACTGCATGTATGTGGGTTGCTTTACACGTTTGAAATGTACAAATATTTTTTGTTACACTAAGTCTCCAAAATCAAGTATCAGCTAAGACTGCATTTAAAAATACATGCTGCAGGTAAATTAGGCAGAAGGCAGAGAAAGTTTACTTATGCTTTAAGTCAGCCATTCTGATGAGGAGCATAACAGAAATGGAATACTTCACAAGCTAAGCATTTCTAAGTACTGTATCATTTCACCTCCCAACATTTTGGAACAAGTACAGAGACAAATCATGTCATTTCAAACCCAAGAAAACCAAAGGATTGGGGCACGGAGAAGGCTTACTCAAGATCAGACAGGATTACATATCCTGAAGGAGGAAACGGAGATCAGAAGGTTTTATTAAGGGAATGTTCCACCCAAGCACCACAGAAATCACAATTACAGCCCCAGCCTCTGCATCTTTGCTCAAAATAAATATTATATTGCACAACATGACTTTCTACCAAGTCCCATCACTGTTCCTCTAGGATCTCTTCTTCAGGGACGAAGCAGGAACATGCAGAGATTGTGAAAGAACCATTTTCAATGAGACAAAAAAGAAAAATACATTTCCCAGCTTGCCTCAGTGCCATAAACTGCAGGCATTTCCTGTCACAAAGAATTACTTCCACGCCCCAGCAGAGCAAGGCTTGGGTCCCTTTAACGGGGGGGGGGGTGGAAAAGAGAGAGAGAGAGAGAGAGAGAGAGAAGCACTAAATTTGGAAGGCAATGGGGGGTGGGGGTGGAGGAGACTTGCACCAGGCAAGACACGTTGGGAAATCAAAAGCTTCTCGCACGCTGGCAACATGCTCTTCCCTTCCCCAACATCTCCACGTCTGAAAGACAGGGTGTGTGTGAAAAAGGAAGGTGACCCTTAACAGGATCTCCCCCACCCCAGCTCCCCACCCCCCAAAAAAACCATCCCAATTCTAGGTGGATCCAAGAGACTCCCCAGAGCCGGGTGCTAACCCGGAAAAGCAAAGTCATTATTGCCGCCTGGCCTGCACTTTTCACAGTGATAGGACAGGAAGAATCAAATCGACCGGGGGTTATGGGGGGCGCTTTGGATGGATTTACTGCCCCAGAAGAATATAAGGGGGGAGGGCGGCTTTGGATTCGTCAAATCCCCAACGGGAGCATATCCATGGCAAGCATGCCTCGTTTCCATCGAGAATAACGAAGCACACGTACACACGATTCTTCAAAAGCAAGGCCTTTATGTATTAAAAAACCAGGGTGGGAAGAAGAAGGGTGTCAGGGCACCAGTATAGATATATACAGTATATTGCGCGCCCCCTCCCCAACCCTCCTCCGCCCCGATGCGTTACTTTCAATTTCCTAATATGACTTTGCACAACAGAGGCCTAGGCGCCCGGCTTCCTCCTCCTCCTCCCTCCTTCCCTTCCTCTCCCCCATCCTTTCGGGGCAAAACCCCCTCCTCCTACCCCTCTGCCGGCTCCACATTTGCCCCCCCCCATGCGAAACAAGGATCTCCAAAGCGAGCGGGGTGCAGGACCCCTCCTCCGGCGCCCACCCTATAAAGAAGGGCCCGGCCACTCCCCTGCTGCAAGGAGCCCCACAAAAAAAGAGGGAGCCACTAGAAGACTATGGGGAGGGGGAATTAAAACTTGTCAGCCCACCTCTCCCCCCCCCCAAAAAAAATCCCCCTCCCCAAACTCCTCTCTGTGCCAGAGCCCCCCACTTACTCAGCTCGTCCTGGGCAGCGTTAGCGGCCGCAGCCATGTTGTCAGCTGGGGGGGTGTGGGAAAAAGAAGGGAGGAGAAGAAGGGAGGCTTAGCCGGTCGCCCTCCGGGCTCCGCACCCGTCGCCCCCTTTCCTTCTCCCCGACGTCACCCCGCTTCCCCCCCCCCGTATGAGCTTCTCTTGCTGAGAGTTGAGCCCGCGGAGGGAAAGAGAAAGAGGGGCAGAGAAAAGGGCTGCTTTCCTTCTTCTTCTTCTTCTTCTTCTCCTCCTCCTCCCTCTCGTGTGACTCTCCCCTGAAACGCCAACCACCGTCGAGGCGACAGCGGGGCTCGATGCCCTGCGACTCTCCCCTCCTCGTGTGCATGTGCCTCGCACGCTTGCCTTGCACACCCTTCCCCACCCTGCTCGGGTTTTATATTTAGAAAAGGCTGTGTACGTCGCTCAGCCCGCCAGCTTGCTCTCTTTATTTTATTTTATTTGCCACCCCACGTTTTCCTCCTCCAAGGCGCTCTTCTTCCTAGCCCAGGGAAGCCCCAGTGGCTCCACGCGAAGATGAACTCAAGGTTACGATAAGTCTTAGGTGAGGACACCCTGTTGTTGTGGTTGTTCCTCTCCCTGCGAAATCTGGTTTTTTTTGGGGGGTGGGAACCCCCATGTGCATTCTCATCACAAGACGGGAAAGGAAAACTGACCTGCCTCCATGCTGACTTCCATGGCTTAGTAATGTTCTATCTACTCTTGTCCTCGCTGACCCGCCGCCCCGTCTAAAATGAGGTGGTGGTGGTGGTGGGAAAACAAAAAGCAAAAGCACTTAACAAATAAAAAGGAAAGGAGAGTTTCTCCCCCTATCTGCGGAAGGTGATTGTAGCAGTCGGGATTGTTTCTGCCTCGAAAGGTCTTTGAGCGACGTGGCTCATTGTTTTAGAAATTCCCAGATGTAGACTTAAGTAAACCTCCTGTAAATCCTAGAGCCACCCCCTAAGTGTCCCTATTTTCCAGTGACAGACCTGGATTTACAAAAGCCGTCCTGATTTGATGCCGGAATGTCCTACTTTTCCTTAGGGCATCCCTGTTTTCATCAGAGAAATGTTGGAAGGTTATGTGACACTCAAGCAGAGGAGATAAGTAAACATACAGTACAAGCTTTAGAAGACATCTGAAGGCGACCCTGTATTAGGGAAGTTCTTTAATGTTTAATGTTTTATTATGGTTTTTATATATGTTGAAAGCCTCCCAGAGCGGCTGGGGCAACCCAGTCAGATGGGTGGGGTATAAATATTATTATATGGCTCTATTTTCATCGGAGAAATGTTGGAGGGCATGATGCTGTCAGGGTGGTGAAAGATGGCATTTTTAACCAACATTTTCAAGACACTTGAATGAAGGAAATGGGCTGTGAATGTGAAACCAGGGTGTGCAAATTATTCCATACTCCTAAAATGTCCATTATTATTATTATTATTATTATTATTATTATTATCTCTGTGTGTGTGTGTGTGTGTGTGTGTGTGTGTGTGTGCGTGCATAGGAAGGTGTTGCCTATTTCAAGAGACTCCTGGCTCAGTGTAACTCCATGCGCTCTGCACGCTAAAACATACTGTGCAATGCATGCACGCACGCACCTGTAGGATCTCACTCAGTAGGGCCAGGCTACTCAACAGGCTACTCAACAGGAATACAGATTAGGTTTTTCTGCCACTGTTTCATGGTTTTTCTCCATAGGAATAAATGCAGAGGTGGTAAAAGTGGTGATCCAAAACATGGTGCTGCAGTGGTACTTGGCCATGACTGTGCATATTGCTTGACAGGACCCTCTGTGGCCAGATTAGGAGGGCTGGTTTGTGGGTGATGCTGTGTCATGGAGGTCTTCAGACCATGATGCAGCCCACGCCAATGTGCCTCTGTTGCTTCTCCCCATGCCTATATCCCCCTGCCTTCCATGTCTCTGAGCTTCACATGTTGCCTTCAGCTGGCCCCCATCCCACCTTCAGCTGGCCCCCTGGCACCCACTGCTGTGCACAGCCTGCACACGTTACTACCACCCTTGGTGTTGGGCTTCCACCTGACCTGCACCATGTATTTGGTGACCCTCCAGGTTGGGCTACTCTCCCAGCCCCATGCATGGTGAAACATGAGAGGTGCTGGAACCAACCGTTTTTGAGCTTTTGCGGGAGATCACTCAAAATGCATTTTGGGGCAAGAGAGCTTTTGAGGGGGATTTGCCCCCAAAAGGGTGATATTCCAAATCCAATTTGATACTCCAAATCCAAATAACTTTATTATACTAGCCATTGGTCATGACAAATCTGAATAAAAAATAAATACAAGCAAAAGGGGTGCTGCACCACAAAGAATAGATGCTCAAACATATACTTCCTGATTCTGTTGGCAAAACCCTGGTCATTTTACCAATTTTTCGAAATTCCCCTGAATGCTAATTTCGCCATTTGGATCCCGGACATGTCCCAGAAATTCTGGACATATGGCAACCCTAACCTGCCTCTCTGCCCTCCTGGGGGGCTTCCTGCCCTCTGCAGACAATGGCAGTTTGTCTCTAGCTCTGACTAGGCTGTATTTTCCATCCCACTGGGTTCTCTGTTCACACAGCAAGCGCTTTTGGGAGTTGTGGTCCAGCAGAGCCTTGAAAAAAGTGTCTTCTCTTACTCATCCTCCAGCCTTTTTAACACTGACCTGTGCAGGTTAAACTACAGTTCCCAGCATTATTATTGGGGGGTGGGCTTTAAATATACAGTGTGTAACAAGTACAATAGTGGAGAGAGAGTGTGAAACTTTCAAAATGTATTTTGGTTTTTTTATATTGGAAACCGCCCTGTGATCCTTGAAGGGTGGTATAGAAATAATAATAATAATAGTTGTTGTTGTTATTTGGACCAGAGGCCATCAAGCAACCACGTCAGAATCCAGAGTGATAGGAAGAGCCATTTTATTGCAAATTAATTGACTGAGAGTGATCTAAAGTCACATGCATCGCTTATTAAGAAATTAGAAACCCTAACTATGCTGAACCAGCAAAGTTAACAGCTAAAATAAGAGATCCTAATGAAGATTGTTTTATGGGAGCCTTTTTTGGACTATATAAAGAAATATTATAGTATGAGGCATTCGCAAGCAAGATTTGAACTATGAGCAACAGAATGAATTAGTGATTATTACATTATTGTCATAAGAGAGCGGTGCTTTTTTCAGCGGGTACTCCAGGGTACACAGAACCTGCAGCTCTTTTTTGTGTTAAGAAGTGTTGCACTTACTGTAACTTTATGGTGAGCACCTGCACCTATTTTTCTATTTAAAAAAGCACTGTAAGAGAGAGAAGATAGGGTGCAGAAAGGGGTGAACCCCTAGAAAATGGGGTAGGAAGTCGACAAAAAAAATTCAATTATATATTGGGATGTATATGTGAAATGTGTGGAAATTTAATAAAATATAAAGGGCGGAGAAACGAGAAACCCGCAGCCGAGTCGCTTAGAATACACGTACTCGGTTCGCCCCCCTTCATGCTCCTCCCTCCCCTTTTTGGTGTTTCCCCTCCAAACCCGCCCACCCTCCTCTCTCATTGGCTCCGTCGTCGTGCACGTCCCTTATTTCGACGTCTCCCTCTCCCACCCACTTTGCGTGCCGCGCCACGTCTCGACCCTCCGGCCTCCCTATTTCCCCGCCTCCTGTGGATTGGCCCGCTCCCTTTCCAATCCCGACCGCTGCTGTCCCTCCCCTCTCTTCCTGATTGACGTGAACAGAAAACCCTCCCGCCTCCCCCCCCTATTTTCGCTTTGATTGGCCGCTCCCTTTCTAATATACGATGATTGACGTAAACAGAAAACCCTCCCGGCTCCCCATTCCCCACCCCTATTCTCGTTTTGATTGGCCGCTCCCTTTCCAATATACAATGACTGACGTGAACAGAAAACCCTCCCGCCTCCCTATTCCCTCCCCTCCCCAAGCTCCTTTTGATTGGCCGCTCCTCTTCCAATCCCGACCTCCCCTCCCGTTCTCTCTCTGTGCCTGACGTTAGACGGCAGGGTAACGTATGGTGCCCGCCTTGCTCCTCCTGCTTTCCCGGCCCACCCAGTCAGCGCCCTCGCTTTCTGTCCACGCGTCCATGTGTTCTAGCCCCGCCCCTCCCGCGGCCGAGAGCGGCGCGAGGGAGCTCGCGAGGCGGCGGCAGCGTAAGCGTCGTCGTGGCGGCGTTGCGCGCGAGGCCCCTCCCGCGAGCGGTCGCCCTTGGCTACGGGCATGGCGTGGGCGCGGCCGGCTCCGGGGGTTCCGGAGGGGCTGCGGCCTCCGCCGCCGCTGCCGCCGCTCCTCCTCCTCCTCGTGTGGGTCTCCGCCCTGTGCCTTTTCCCCCGGCCGGCGGAGGCCCTGGTGGAAGGTCTCTACTGCGGGAAGCTGGTCTGCTACGACGTGCTGGGCGTGAGCCGGGATGCCAGCAAGGCTGAAGTGGCCCGGGCTTACCGGCAGCTGGCCCTCCGCTACCACCCGGACCGCCGACCGCGGGAGCCCGACCCGGACGGCAAAGGAGCAGAGGCCGCCCAGGAGAAGTTCCTGCTCATCGCCACCGCCTACGAGACCCTCAAGGTGAGAGAGCGGGGCCGGGGCCGCCCCCTCCCTCCGCCCGCCCCGGCCGGACCCCTCCGGTAAGACGCGCGCCGTCCGCACCCTCCCCCCCCCCACGCACCCAGGCTCAGTTTCTCCCAACAGCACCCACCTCCCTGGCTCCCTTGAGGAGAAGGAGCAGCTGCGGGGAGGAGGGTGACAGGAGCGGCTGGCGCCGGGAGGGCTCTCAACAAGGGCACCCCCTTCGCACCCCCCTCTCAGCATTTCACTGTCATGCAAATAGGGGTGTCCTCCTATTCCATATACAGTATATATGGAATATTCCTATTCCAACATACAGTATATAAAAGGTAAAGGTAAAGGTACCCCTGCCCGTACAGGCCAGTCTTGACAGACTCTAGGGTTGTGCACCCATCTCGCTCTATAGGCCAGGGGCCAGCGCTGTCCGCAGACACTTCCGGGTCACGTGGCCAGCGTGACATCGCTGCTCTGGCGAGCCAGAGCCGCACACGGAAACGCCGTTTACCTTCCCGCTAGTAAGCGGTCCCTATTTATCTACTTGCACCCGGGGGTGCTTTCGAACTGCTAGGTTGGCAGGCGCTGGGACCGAGCAACGGGAGCGCACCCCGCCGCGGGGATTCGAACCGCCGACCTTTCGATCGGCAAGTCCTAGGTGCTGAGGCTTTAACCCACAGCTTCAGAGATCTTCTAAAAAATCCAGGACTGTCCCTGGAAAATAGGGACACTTGGAGGGTCCGCCTTCGTGGGGTGTCCTCCCTCCACAACACACTTCTAGACAGTGTTAGAAACTCAGATATATGAGCTAGGTGCCAAATGGCCCCTTAAACCAAGGTTGCAGTCGCCAAAGCAGAATGTCTAGTTGCCATTTTGGGGCAAGAGGGCTCAAACGATGGACCAACTGCTATTGATTCTCAGTTAAACATTTGTCTAGTTCAGATGACAACCTTGAGGTTGGTTAAGAACCTTGAGGTTGGTTAAGGGTCAGTCCACATATATATTTGCCTATTCTAACCTCTTTTTCTTAATGGAGACTGCTCCTGCTCAGGCTGCACAGAAAAAGCAGTTTGCTTCCGGAACTTCATTCCGATTGTGCAGATAAAATATAACTAATATAATTCCATGGGGTGGGGTGTTTGTGTGTGAAAACAGGGTTTGCAGTTTATATGCATACACCAATATATTATTGTGCTGTATAATATGCATGGTGTTTGTGTATGTCAGAGAGAGAAAAGAAACTGGCCCATTAAACCAAAGTTGTAACACAGCAAGTATGCCATGCCTAACTAGCTTCAGTCATTAGTTTAATGTGTTTGCTTATAACTGCTTTGAGAAGAATAGCTTGTCAGTAGTCAAGTGTATTGCTTCAGAAGCATAAAGCATAAAGACCTTTACTTTTTGCTATTTTACTCCTGTTGTGTAAATACTATTGATCATTTTATGTTTGAAAATTTAAGAGTAGTGTTCAACTAGAGATAATTGCCATAAGTACAACCAAAAGCAATTCCTTAAACTGAGCGGATGGCGGTTGTTTTTATTCATTGACGTATGGGATATTTCCAAATGAAAACCTGCCAATTATCGTTTGCAGGATGAAGAAACTCGTAAGGATTATGATTATATGTTGGATCATCCTGAGGAGTATTACAGCCATTACTATCACTATTATAGTAGAAGATTGGCACCCAAGGTAGATGTCAGAATCGTGATTCTAGTCACCGTCTGTGCCATCTCTGTTTTTCAGGTAAATATCTTTGTCTCCAAACTGTTCCAATGTTACCATCTGACCTGGAAAATAATGAAAGACGAAATGTAATATGGCTGGTTTCTTACAAATGTTTTCCCTTTGTGTAAAAGGCAATTGATCAAGTGCTGTCTGCTCTCTATATTATGCCAGCAAAGGAGGTGGCTGGCCTGAACTTATTACCTGCAAGATAAGGAACATATTTAAAATATCACATCAGTTTTCCCTAAGATTTTTGGGCACAATACATGGAAAGGGGATTTTTTTAAAAAAAATAGTGATTATGAATGCAAAGCTATGCAAATAAAGAAAACAATTAGAACAAGTTTGATATAGTGCATCCTATATATATAGTCTGAGTACCACAGGGAAAGGTAATTTGCTTATTCTCTAAGGCTAATATTGCTTACCATTTTATATTTTAGTTCTTCAGCTGGTGGAGTAGCTACAATGAAGCTATCAACTACCTAGCAACCATGCCAAAATATCGTATACAAGCCATGGAGATTGCCAGGCAACAAGGGCTACTAAACAGAGCCAAAGAAAAGGGCAAGAACAGGCGGTCCAAGGAAGAAATCCGGAAGGAGGAGGAGGAAATAATCAAAGATGTAATAAAAAACAAAATAGATATCAAGGGTGGTTATCAGAAGCCCCAAATATATGACATACTCTTATTCCAAATCCTTTTAACGCCTTTTTATCTGTGCAAGTACATAGGATGGTATTGTTGGTGGATTTATTGTTTCAACATCAAAGGACAGGAGTATGGGGAAGAAGAAAAGTTGTATATTATACGCAAGTACATGAAAATGTCACAGTCTCAGTTTGACACTTTGGAAGATCACCAGAAAGAGACTTTTCTTGAACGACAGCTCTGGATAAGAGAGAACTATGAGGTGAGCGGCGTTGGCACACAGGAAGTGGGAAAAGAACCTAACATGTCCTGACTTCTTAAATTATGTTCATACCACACCTAAGCGAAGGCGCTTGCTTGTGCAGTTCCATACTGTTGGTTCATGCACTTGGGGTCACAAGCAGTGATCAGTGTCCCATATGCAGCTAAAATACACCAGGTATTTCATATTACGGTTGTCCAAACTTACTGTCTTTGTAGGTCTTTCCCAACCTTTATTTATAGGTTGAGCTGTCGCATAATTACCATGCTTCTTTAAGACTCATGTGCAGTATACTAACAAAGTAGATGGTTCACTTCAGTGTTCAAATGAACTTCTTCGTTATGTCCCTTTATTAGAGGCTGGGTGGCATTGTTGTTTTTTTAAAAAAATGCCTGTCTAAAAATGTGCTACTCAAGTCAGCTTACAGTACAAATCAGTAAAGCAGCACAGCAAGTCACAACACACAAAAGCAAAACACAGTGCAGTAAACTACAGTTAACAAGCCTATCATCAGGAAAAAAAACTGCTCAGATTCAATTTTCAGCAGATGGTGTAGGCTTTGTAAAATGGAGACCTTAATTTGTCATTTGAATCTCAGAGGAGGGCCAGAAATGAGGTTCCTTAGGTGGAGAAGGCCCAGTGAGAATCAGTCACAGAACGCTCTTCTGAATACATGCTCTCTGAGAACCTTATCCTAGTTCTAGGATCAGGGAACCCAGCAGTAAATCAGCTTAGAAGTTCTGCTGAAGGAAAAGAACCATTTTATCTTCCACAACACAATAATTGTCTGTGTTAAAGCAGGTAGAGCTGTCAATATTTGTTCTAGCGCCATTTTAAAAAACCCCAACATACTGGCAATAGAATTCTTGGTGGAGTGTGGCATTTCCAGTCTACTGAAAGAGCTGTCACCAGCCTTGTCCCTTTCAGTGCCATACAAGTAGTATTAGGTTGTATCCAATGATAGTCCTGCTCATAGCAGAAGCATTGAAATTAATAGGCACAACTAACTTAGGTCCGTTACAACCCATTGTGCCTCATATGCTATGTAGAGAGCAGAAGTGGGAAAACATTGGCTTCATTCTGCAGAGCGTGAGTTTGTAAATATTTCAGTTAATATCAATTTGAATATTAATTGATACTCAATTAATGTGTCACCTTAACTATTGGTAATGTACTTTGAAAATAGATGCCAAATGCTAGTCCTACTCACTTGAGCCATTGAAGTCATTTTGGGACTGGCCTGTCCACAGTGAAACTGTCAAAGAATCTGTGTTGCTAAAGCACAGTGAATATTGATGTTGCTTTCAGTTAAATGTTTCCTTCTCTTTTAGCTTTACAAACAAGAGCAAGAGGAAGAACTGAAGAAAAAAATGGCATCGGACCCTCGATGGAAAAGATACAGGCGGTGGATGAGAAATGAAGGACCTGGAAGACTGACTTTTATTGATGATTGACACTTGCTGTAACTTATACGGTCCAGTGATGATTGGCAAGAAAAATTTCATACCTAAAAAGTTCAGAGTTGAACTGCTGTGTCTCAGCAATGTTCTGAAACTCAGGAAGTAATCAGACAGAAAACTAGTACAATTTTATGATTTTTATAAAATAAAAGGAAATCTGCTAATCAGTCTTAATTGTTTTGCTCCATGGTTCACTTGATGTTGAATTGAAAACAAGCCTGACATGGATATCCTTAAGAGTCTGCATGTAAGTGTGATAATGTAACAGGCACGTAGGTGGGCCTATTTGGCAGCAGGAGCCAAATTAGCCATCCAAGCCATGCCCATGTTGTTTTGCCTTTCTTTTGTACAGCCCCAAAGCTCAAAGTTGCAGGCTGTCACGAGGCTTCAATCGTTCTTGTATGATAGGAAGTTGAAAGATTGTAGCCTCCTGGCAGGTTCATGTGGTTGCCAGTTTGAGGTGGCAAAGATGAATTTCCAGTGCTGATAAAGCAATAGAAATGCACTTTTCAGCAGGCCTCCCCACCGCTGTAGTCAAAATCCCCTTATAAAAAGCTCCAGAAAGGGTGGGTACAGTGAACACCAGGCTGGCTAAGTTTTATATCAATCTAAGAACCACACTGATGGGCACTCTGCACCCCACCAACGATGACAGCCACATGTCAGTGTTGGAGATGGCTAATGTATGCCTGTGCATGCACTTGTACACAAACTGTACAAACGAATTGCACATGCACCACATAAACAGCATGCACACTCGCATAGCGCCATGTACACAATGCAGATAAAAACTATCGGCATTCCGCGTATCCCTGCTAGTGCTGGCGTGAGATGCTGGCTGCAAACACGGCCTTTTCCTTTGGCTTTCCTTTTGAGAGGATCTCTAAACAGCAGAGGGTTCTTTCACCTCCTGTTCTTAGTGCTAAGGACCGCAGGGCTAATATCCGAGATAAAGCTGCTTGTCTGTTCCTTTAAACAGCAGTGTTTCAGCCCACACATTTGCCAGTGGTGGCATGGCAAGAAATGCCTCCTTAGAAAGCAGGCAAGCAGCATTACCTCTGATCTTAGCGCACAGAATGGGAGCAGGCAGAGAAGTCTTGCACTGTGGTGCTTAGGGATGAGAGCGGGAGATTAAAGCACTCTTGCCTGCAGAGATCACTCTCTAAAGAGCTTTATCTTCTGAAGCAGCTTGCTGCAACTCCAGTGATTGCGTTGTGTGTTTGCACCTGAGAGTATCCCCTAGCCCAGGGGTCTGCAACCTTTAAGACAAAAAGAGCCACTTGGACCCGTTTCTGAAGAAAAAAAAAACCTGGGAGCCGCAAAACCATTGCGACATTTAAAACAAATATATCTCCGGAGCCGCGATCTGACCGGGCGGGAAGGTGATGTCGGGACGGTGCGTGACTAACGCACGCACAGCCCCCATGCGACGTCACAGCCAGTACAGCGCCCGCCACAGTGGAGAGTGTCGGGGCGTACAATGCGCCTCCTCCCCTCGCTAGTATCCACCCTGGAGCCGTGGCAAAGGTGTAAAAGAGCCACATGCGGCTCCGGAGCCGCGGGTTGCAGACCCCTGCCCTAGCCTAAGTAGTTTGAGAAGGAATTCGTTTAGTTTGGATGGTTTTTCCCAAAATCTCTGCTAGAAAAACGCTCCCTGCGAGCTGGTTTGCATGTAACATCAAGGCAAACCATTGCTTAGTACAAATGGGAGGATTTGCACCTCCCTCTGTCCTGCTGCTTTGGGCAGGGTAGTGTCTTCCAAACCTATAGCTTGTGAGCTGTAAACCAAAGGAGAAAAGGGGAAAGTCCTGGACTGGGATGGTGGGGGTGCCATGTGAATTATTAATGGCAAGACAGGCCAAAGCAAATCCACATTTTGTTCTGGTGCAGACAAAGTCATCGCTTTCAAAGGAGCCTACTTCCTGGTGATCAGATTTGGGTTTCATGCACATTGCCATGCTCAGATGGGAAGAACCTCCGCCATGGGAGTTTACAGTAATTTTTGGGAGGGTGGGGTCAAAACAATGAAAGGGGGCTGGTTTCTCACATCAGAACTGAGAAGAAGAGTGCCAGTACCTATTCCCTCATCTCTCAGGTTCTACAAATGCCAGAAACCCACATCTTTTTAGAGTCACCCATGCCCCAAGTCCCTACTCTCCAACATCTTTGAGACAGCAGGTTTACATTTTCCCCCAACATACGAGCCAACTCCTAGGGGCCGAGGTCCCGTTGCCCACGCAATAAAATATTTGAGAGGGCTGGCCCCACCAAAGTTGATGAGCATTGCCTGGGGTGCTAATTTGAATAAAATATTGGGGAGGGGCCACGTAAGCCCCACCCTGCATAGTGGATCACAAGACGTGGCCCACGCACACCATTTGAATGGCAATGCTCAGCAACTTTGGGGAGTCTGGGCCACTCAGATATTTTATTGGGGGGGGGCAAAGGGACCTTGGCAACTAGGAGTTGGCTCCTATGCATGGCCTTAGCCAAGGGCGGGACAGGGGGGCAGCTGCCCCCCCCAAATCCTCAAAATTTATTGAAAAGCATTGAAAAATAATGCTAAGATTCTGTCCCCCACTCCCAGTAAAAGCCTGCCCCCTGCAATATCCTCTTTTGGGAGGGATTTTTATCTGTGATCTCCCCAAAAAAGGCTTGGGGGGGGCCCTAACAAAAATCCTGGCTATGCCTATGCTCCTATGGGCATTGCCATTCATATGGTATGTCTGTTTTACATCTTCTGATTGATGATGTGGGGCGGGGGGTGGACCGCTTACCTGACACGGCAGCTGCCCCCTAAAGCAAATAAAACAATAGAAATACGGTACTTAACTAACTGATGGATCAAGTCGATTCTGCCCCCTCCTAACCAAAGTCCTGCCCCCACAACAAAAATCCTGGCTACGCCTGTGACACCCACCCACCCAATGTTTTAACCAAGTTGGTTGCTCTACTCCCCCAAAACTCCCAGGATGAGGGGACGCGGGTTGGGTTTTTGAGGGCAGCCCACTCAATTTTCAACCCGCTTTGCGCATGCAATTTAGACTCATGCCCTGGCAGGTCTGTAAGTCAGGTCAATTCTGCTTCCAGGGCAGCTGCCTACCAACTCCATCTGGCACGCAGGCTGAGAGCTGCCCGCGGACTGTCTTGCCAGAGTGGTGCATGCTCTGGTTATCTCTTGCTTGGACTACTGCAATGCGCTCTATGTGGGGCTACCTTTGAAGGTGACCCGGAAACTACAATTAATCCAGAATGCGGCAGCTAGACTGGTGACTGGGAGTGGCCGCCGGGACTATATAACACTGTCTTAAAAGACCTACATTGGCCCCCAGTACATTTCCGAGCACAATTCAAAGTGTTGGTGCTGACCTTTAAAGCCCTAAACGGCCTCGGTCCAGTACACTTGAAGGAGCGTCTCCACCTCCATCCTTCTGCCCGGACACTGAGGTCCAGCGCCGAGGGCCTTCTGGCGGTTCCCTCACTGCGAGAAGCCAAGTTACAGGGAACCAGGCGGTAGTGGCGCCCGCCCCGTGGAACGCCCTCCCACCAGATGTCAAAGAGAAAAATAACCAGTGGCGTAGCGTGGGGGGTGCAGGGGGGCTGTCTGCACCGGGCGCAACATCTGAGGGGGGGCGCGGAAGAGACTCGAGTGCTAAAATCCACGGGTTAGGGGGCGCAAATTACTTGCCTTGCCCTGGGTGCTGACAACCCACGCTACGCCACTGAAAATAACTACCAAACTTTTAGAAGACATCTAAAGGCAGCCCTGTTTAGGGAAGCTTTTAATGTTTAATAGGTTGTTGTATTTTAGTGTTTTGTTAGAAGCCGCCCAGAGTGTATGGGGGGACCCAGCCAGATGGTATAAATAATAAATTATTATTATTATTATAAGTACACTATACGCTAGCTGACCCCAGGCGTTCCTCTCCAAGCGCCAAGCGGCTGCGCTCGCCTTCCATCCGGGCCCGGGAGGCGCAACCCCGGGTGGGGGGGGGGGCCTGCCTGGGCGCTGCCTCCTCCTCCTCGGCGCTCGGTTGGTGCGTCGGGAGCGCATCTTCGGCCGGCGCTGGCACTGCAAGAGAAGTCGGGCGCCGCGCGCCAGAGAGACCCCGAGCGCTCGCGTCTTCCTCGCCGCCGCCAGCATGTCTTCCAACTCCAGCCTCAGCACCATGCAGCGCCTGGTGGAGCAGCTGAAACTGGAGGCCGGCGTGGAGAGGATCCGGGTGAGCAGAGCTGCTCGGTTGGCGTCCGGAGAGCCGGACGCGCGGCGGCTCCATTTGCTCTCCAGACCCCGAGGCGTCCTTTGTCCTCGGTATAGTGGAGGGAGGAGGCATCGCTCTCCCATCGCCGCTCCTTCTAGAGGAGCTGAATCGCAAATCAGACCGTCGGGGAATCGGGAAGCTTTTTCTCCTTTTCCGATGGCACAGAGGGGCAGGGGCATCTTCTCGGCCTGCAACAAAACGCGCACTTTCGCAGCTGGCTTTTGCAGCGCTGGGCGAGAGGCCGTTCGCTGGCTCCTTCAGAGCCAGACTCATCTGACAAAAATGGGGCTTTATTTGGCGTCCTTAACTGATAATAGTTAGGCCTCCCTCGGCTTGCTTCCAAGGGTTTTTGTTTTCGTAGGGTTTTTTATTTTCCTCTCTTGCTGCTAGTTTAAAAAAACAAATGGGCGAGGTATCTTGGTTAGTTTTCCTACTATGAATTGCCAGATGGATTACTAAACGTGGATCTAACGCTGGTGTTTATTTAGTACTGGATATTGCTAATTAACTTGCTCCTATGCGTTCGGCACATGGAAACTTTTGATGTGTTTTTAGCGCACTGTTAATTATCTGACTGTTTATCAGTGTTTTATTGCTTTGAACGAACAGCTGTCAGTGCTCTACTGTAGTTTTGTACTGAACTATTTAATTGGTTGTGGCCGTTGCATTTAAATCTTACATTTTGTGAAATACTCGGGGCACAGAATATTTGTGGGGAATGCTGAAAATTGACAGACAATGGTTTAATCTTCGGCAACCCTTGTGATCATATGTTTGAGAGAATGTGTGACTGAAGCCCATTCTAGACCATCTCATAAATTCTGTAGCATTTAAGGAGGTTTAGAATTATACTTTTCATTTCTGGCAGCAGCTGAGCTTAAGGCTTTTGCCTGGTTGCTAATTCTTT